AATAATAATAATTCAAAAACTCGTTCCAAACTTCAAGAACTTTATTTCTTTTCAGCAATGAAGATGATAAAAAAAGGAATTGTGGAATTTGCGAAACAGAGTAAATCTTTAATTTTGATTCCACTTACATTACACCCACCATTTCACAATAACTCCTTTGTTCTGACACAGAGTTTTCAATGAAAAGGATTTGGATACAGAACTCACAATGCTATAAAACAATGTCAAACAGATACATATTTTGATAAAAACAAACAGAGAAATATCTGAGTTTGAAATAACCATAGGAGATAACAAACCTCTTCAGGAAACGAAGCAAAAAAATTTTCATCTAGTTTTTCAGCTTTCAGTTTTGTTATGACACTTGCACGCTCCATTTGCGTAGAAAATGGAAAAAACAGCTCAAAAAATACTATACCAGCACTATAAATATCTACCTGGAAACAAGCAAAATATAATTTGAATAAATTTTAAAGAAATACTAAAAAAGTAAAAAAAAAACTACAAAGCAATGACTTATTATTTAAATGCAAAAGTTCTAACAGTTATTTGAATATATATCAACGTCTTACAGCACTGTCATACACAGTAGAGCGTTGTTCAGGTGCTGCATATAAAGTAGTACCAACTCCACCACTATGTGTGATAACATTGTCATCAATAAAATTTGTCGCTGTTCCACTGCAACTAGTTTTTGTTTCATGTAAACATGCAAGACCAAAATCACCCAGCAGTATAGTTGGAACTGAGCAAGATTTGTCCTCCCGAAGAAAAATGTTGCTTGGCTATAATTTTCCATGCTATTTATGATAGAGTCACAGAAAAAATATCTTCCTGCAGTGATGAAAAAATTAAAATACGAAGAGTTAAGAAATTATTTGAACGAACTGCTTCTTTTAAGTATAAATTAGCTGTGGATTTTAAGATTTTTGGAAAACTTTAACTGCTTCTCTTATACCTCAGAAAACGTGATAACAACAAATTTGTGATGAGAGAGGAAAAAAATCTACAAGTTTGTTGACAAATTTATAGGTTTGTAAAAAATTTTATATATAAAACAAACTTTGATATCACGATGTATGATTTTTTTAGAATGCAAGTGAGTCACCGCAGATATCAATTGCTCCATAATGCTTCTATTCCACTCCCGATCTATTTTAGGACTAACTTCTGAAACTAATACATTATAACACAGTATACTATGAGAACAATTAGTACTGTCCCTGTGATTATATTAAAGTTGTGTAGAACGTGAAGAAATACCATCCATCCTCTGGAAGAAATAGTCTTGAAGAGTACGCGAACAAAGTTCCATCTGCACAAACATTGTGCCGTATGCCTGCAACTGACAATTTGTATACTGGAGAAACTTTAGTACGAAACTAATTATTCAAATAGATATCAAGTTACACTGTACCCTACAGCTAGAGCTGTTTCTCGAACTTTGCTCCACAATCAAAAAACTTTCATCTGCGCAACTGTCAGAATTTGATGCAGAAGTCGGATCCAATATTTCAACAAAATCTTTTTCGCCAGATCCTAACTGTTCAGAAACGTCACAAAACTGTATATCCCAGTCCTCTTCATCCTAAATCAACCAAAATACCGCAAAAAAATGTACTGAATTTCGCACAACCTTCTTCTAAAAAGATACATGCAATAATATAAAAAAGAAAATTAAGAAAAAAAAAGTCATACAGCATGATTAGACTCTGAATGAGTGAGCACAGATACCACTTTGTTTTTGCTTTCGTCATCCGAAGAATCTCTTTGTGTATCTTCATCCCTTAATTTTTACTCCATCAGTCATATTTCATTTTCAAAAGCACAATTATACTAGAAAATGACACTCACTCATCATTAGAAGCATCTTCATTATCAGATGACCATAATCCTGGCATTTCTACCCATGCTCCAAAGTATCGCACGATATTTTTGTGCTGAACGGATGCTAGCAGACGAACTTCATTGACGACCTATATCCGATTCTTACATCAAGTTAAAGGATAATTTATAATCTACAAAATCACGATTTGCTCATGACATTTTTGCTCAATTTGAGACCAAAAATCAAGGAAAACATCACAAGCAACAAAATTCGTAAGGAACTAACCTTCATCATTGTTTCTGATGTCGGTACATCGACTGGGACTTTCTTAATTGCATAATCACAATTATCTATTTTAGAACGCACCTAAAGGAAAACTGTGAGATAAATATAATGAAAATACTACGATCCACAGGATGCTATATGTAATCAATGTGGTATAGTCAGAAACTTTCAGGTGACTGAGAATATAAACAAAGAATTCAATAAATATAAACTAAAAATATAGGGACAATGATTACATGGTACACGGATCCAAAGCCTCCTCCTCCTATTTTTCTAATTTCCTCAAACTCGATGTTGTATCGACTTGGTAATAAATAATTTTTCTCTTTTGCTGGACATATGCTTAAATTGGACAAAAGCTGATAAAGCTTATACAAACAATTAGAACCATTCATAACAATTTCGATACTGAATTTCACATTACATCCTAGGATTTTTTTAGTAAGAATTTTAATTAGCAATGACAAATGTTCAAAGGCAACACTGAAAACAATTCAAATTGTAGCACAATCGAACTTCGACACCTCATACACTTTTTTTGAATATAAAAGCTGTAAACCTTTTATCAATGGCTAACTTTGAACCAACATTCAAAGCTTCTGTGATTCTTTTCCGAATTGCTATTCGCAGCGCTCGACATTCTTCAGAAAAATATGAAGGATGGATAAAGTGCACCGCAATGTGTCTCAAAACTGAAAATATTCCAAAACTTACTCTAAAAAATTGTATTTTCAGCGATCAAATTTTTTTAATTATCAAAACACTATGCGGAAAGCAAGTTCCTTGTTTTCTAAAACAAGCTTAATTTTCAGATTTTACTGGCCAAAAAATCTTTCAAAAATTATCACAACAAACTACAGAACCATCTCGCAAGCGATTGTGCTGGCCGTCAAAATCACCCTCGCATACCATTTCGATGACTGATGCAAAAAACATTTCCATAACATTCTTTCCCAGCTTCTTGAACTTCTCTTTTTTTTGTTTAGAAGGATACACAGTTTTGCCTTCTCCACCTGAATACTTAATTAACTGATGTTATCAAAAAACAATAAATTGACATGGTATCAAAATTAATGAATAAACTTGATATATTATCAGCGTTGTTTTGGTAAAAAATAAGTTATATAGTGCTTTAGAAAATTATAGAGTACTAAATCTAGAAATTATTTGGAAATATTTGTAATAAATTATTGAATGAGTGAGTTAAGAAGCCTTTTTGGATACAAGTACCAATATATTTCTCTCCACTGTAAACAAGAATTTTGATAGTACGTAAGCAAGGATAAAAAGAAATATGATAGCGAGATATTTTTAACTACTATAAATTCAACAATTACTGGAAATATTTCCAGAATCTTTGGCAATTTAAGATCAAAATTATTTAAAGGAATATTACAGAAAACTTGCAGTCCTTTACTGCATAATGAATACAATGTTGATTGATTATGACAATCAAACAAAACTGTTTATCAATTTTTCAATAAACAATATCAACAATGAACTAAATTCAAGAGTGCTCAGAATTTGAAAATTGGCATCGACAAATTTTTCTCATTTTAAATAAAAAGGAAAAAACATCTACCTGAAAAGCCAGCTAACATTTTCGGAGTAGCAACTAAATCAACTAGCGTTTCTTCCCAAGTACTACTATCACCGCTAGTCTTGCCAAACAAAAAGTGATTCCAAAATGTATTCCGTTTCATATGACTTTGTCCTGAAGTTGGTTACCTATATTAGTTATATCACAGACAGCATAATAAAAAACTAAGAAAACCTTAGTATTAGTGATAGCTGTCAAAACAGTTTTATCTTAAGACAGATAATTACTTCTTGACACTATAATGTTGGAAACAGTCATGTATGAAAAATTTGACTATCCTAATTTGTATTCAATAGACCTCGTGGTGGATTATAATTAGTGTCATGAGCAGAGTTCGTATGGACTGGATCAGTCGATGCCGAATGTGAAACGCTGAAACTTTCTGAGGGCCTAGTTAAACAGGTGTTGTCGAGCGTGCACTCCGAACCCATTACTTCCACAACTTGATATTGCTTAGGTTCGTACTTCTAAATAGACATGATTTTATGGCCACAAACAATAACAATTCATTTCTCCAGCTTTGTATTAATGATTTAAAACAAATCACTTTCTCTTACAAATTAATCAACTCTTACATGAAAGCTCCAGATCTTTGAGTATCACACTTGGGGTATTTGTCTCCGTCAACTAATATCCCAATCTTTACAAGATGGAATGATTGTCAAACTCAATGAATGATTTCGAAGTACCAAACTACTTTTTTGCGTAAAAAGTACTTACCATGACTTGTACCATTTTCACATGAAAAACGAAATTCCTCTCACTGATTGATTATTTTTGAAAACTTAAATAATGCTGTAGACGTCAGTCCAGTCGTTAATGAGACCAACCACGCCTTCAGAACTGTTGAGTCAAAAACAAGTTTAATTGCTGCAAGCAAACATAAACTAACCTATCAAATCTACGGAGACTAATGTATGAACTCCAAGTTATACCTTTCTAAGAATACAAAGGATATGGAGTTTTATAGAAGAATTAACATCAACTTTCCCGCATTTCGGTGGGTCAAAAAAGTACTTAATGCACTAAAAATTGTAATTTAGAACATTCTAGTATATCAATTGCAAAAAAAGGTCAGAGAAATCTCAGTACAAGGTGAGGCAGCAATCATTGGTGGAACTCCATCAATTAGTCATTAGTTATTACACAGATTTTATTATTAAAAAAAAGAAAAAACAGACATATCGAACCACACAAGAGATACATACATCACTGCAGGTTGAAATAAATTTCCTTTCGTCACCAGAGTTTGAAAACAAAATTCATTCAAAAGGCATGAAATTAGAACCGTTTTTTGCATACTTGCATTAGAAGGTCTAAATTCAGTCACCGTCATAATTTTTTATAAATTACTAAATTTACACAGCTATTGATCACAAGAACCATCCTTCCAACCATCTAGCCATCTTTCTTTCCATTGTGAACAATTATACTCTGGTTTACCAAGCTTTTTGTTCACTCGATTATGTAATGCGCACATCCATAATGAAAATCGTTCACGATCTTCCACATCTGGTTGATGCTGAGCTAAATCACGACGAAGATCTTCAGCACAATGTGAACAAGGGTAAGTCTGTAACGGGGAATCAAGAAATTATTTTGATGTCATTTCAACTTGACCATTTAATTCTTTATAATAAAAGATTAAATTATTAAGTCTCTACGGTTTACATAAATTAGAAGTTGATCATCGAGGAACATGAAGATTGAATTTTTAAAAAACAGGAAAAATGATGAAGCCTATTCCTTGACAAAATAATTCCATTCCAAATAAAGAAAAAACACCAATACGAAATGAATAAACGATATTGAGGACTACATTTGAAGAGTGCATCCAAGAAAGGCATAGAATACTTCTAATGCAGCTCAAATAAAAATAAAAAGAGAAAATTTGGGCCTCAGTCTTCCGCATGCAGATCTATCATTCATGTATTACATCAATTTGCATAAAAAAAGAACATACAAATAATTCTTTACTTTTCCTAGAAGATCCATTAAAATCCTGACATTTTTCTTTTGTTCAGATGTTGGTTTTAAGGGATAATAAGCAGCTATCGTATGTAGCAGATTCCACGTGGATCTACCTAACTGCTCAGTGTTTACTGGACAATCACTTCTCACTGATTTCATTGCGGTTGATCCCTGACAGCAGACACATTTAAAATATGACATGAAACAATACCTCTAGAACTAGTGACTAAAGATTTAAGCAACTGTTTAGAATTTTTAAGTCAAAATACATAAATTTGTACAATACACATTGGTTGCAAAAGTACATATGGCAACATCCCTCCCGTCGAACTTATTAGCAAGTCTTAATAATAGGTTTTGAAAACTTGTTGATAAAATCCACTACAATAAGGATATTCCATCTATTTGGCAACTTATTTGCAAAAGACAAATGTCAAACAGAAGGAATCGACGTTGCCGATGACTGCTGTACACTATCCTTCGAAATCTTCCCAGCCATTTTTCTAGCACGTCTCATTAATTCTTCGACACTCATACAAGCACGGCAATGTTCTTCACCAACACCTGATGAGGAAGCCGACATCCCTACTCTATTTACTAACTGAAAAGACTAAAAATTTTTATGTCATCGGACGAAACAGAACAAGTGATCTCGACTCCACTAAATAAAGATACTAACTTTTCATAGAAATAAATTTGACATTCAACTTGAGAACAAACTGCACCACCTCAACTATAAAATATTTATTACTTCGAGAAAAAGAAATTTTGCAAATACATTCGACCATAATGAAAACAATGAAACACGTGTAGACTCCAAGAAATCCGGAATGATAGTCCTCAAAAGTTATCCAATAATTTACAAAAGCATTGGAGCAGCAGATTTTTCTTTTCAAACAAAAAAGGAAAGGATATTCATATTTTGTGGACCCAAGAGATGACAACGGATTTGTTACATAATAAATACGTTAATAACAAACTAATGAGAGCTTTAAGATTTAAAATACTGAAAAAGGATAGTAAAAAATTATAAAGTAAAACGAACAGCAAAAGAAACTACAAATTTGATTTCAAAAATTTTCAGTAAACAAGAATGAACTGATTCAAAATAAGCGACCATGGGCGCAAGAAATGAACGAAACCTTTTGATTACACACAAAATTAAAACAATTTCAGCATAAACTCATCTTGAGTTTAATGCTAGTGTCTAAAAACACCACAATTTTTTTGCAAATGGAACTTGAAAAAAATGAAACTATATTTTCGACGCAGACATGCACAAAGATAAAATATTTAAATTAATGCAATCCATAAGAAGTAGGGACGCTATAACGCACTCCTTCTGGAGAAGACTGAGCAGATGACGTTGGTGTCCTTAAAATCTCAAGAATATGGTGCAAAATTAAGTCGATCGCTATAGTGTTATCAGCACCACGTGGAATAATAACATCAGCGTATTTCTTTGTCGGCAGACAAAATTCTTCAAATGCAGGCTTTACTAGGTTCAGATATTGATGAAGGACCTGAAGTAGAACAAAAATTACAACAAAAAATTGAATAAGCATAAAAAACTTATTTAGAACAAATTCACGACAATGAATACTGAAACAATCTGGATAGTTACCTGATTCAATGATCTACCTCTTTCGCGAATGTCCCGCTGAACACGACGAGATAAGCGGTCATCAGAATCTGCATCAACAAAGAGTTTCATATCGAAGAAATTTCGCAATTCTTGATCGTAAAGAACTAATATTCCTTCGACCATCACAACATCAGCTGATTCAATAATATCGAACTCATCCAACCTATAAAATTTTTACACAGTAAGGATGATAAAAGTCCATTTATTTTAAATGCATATTTCATTTCCTGCAATTTTTGTTTTCAAATTTCATTCAAAAACTGACAAGCACCACAATGAACTAAAGGAAGAAGTTTGTATTGTGACTGCTTGTAAACTGGATGTCTTTTCCATGCATTACCGAATACTATCAGTGAAAATATATCACATGAGACAAAGTTCTAACACTAACTTTGAGTTGGTGCAAAAGTCATACTTTGGAACCGCGACACTTTCACCTCTCTTAATTTTTTCAAGGACCGATATCATTGATGCGAGCTCGAAAGCATCTAGAAACTAACATTACAATAAAGAAGAAATTCTATACATGTCACAAGAAATTTTTGAATATGACTTTTCGCAATAAAAATGTAGCACCTGGATGATCGAAATTGAATTCTCCTCTGCTAGCTTTGATAGTTTCTTCTTTAGTCAAACTGCGGTAAAATGAATCCTGCGATATTGCAAACACTTTTCGTTTATTAGTTTTTCCCAGTCTCTCCATAATTTTTGCACAAACTGATGACTGAAAAATACCAACAACGATGATTTCTAAATTTCATTTTGAATTCGGACTTATTTCTTTCATATTACATTCTAGATGAAACCTGCCACAAACTTTAATGTATTTATCAAAATACAATGGGGTTGATAAACTGCTCATAAAAATAAAAAGCTTCATTAAACGAGTTTCCGCCGATAAATAATGATGAGTAATTGATCTATGCAGGTGAAAGTACCAAAACATTACTGTAATTAAACAACCTTTCCTGAAGCAGTGCCACCACCGACACCGATCAGAAACGGAATCTTTTTTGCGGCACCCGGTTCACCAGAAGCTGCCATCTTGCTTTACTTCAAATAAAGTTAGTGGACGTTCAGCATCATCTTCAATGAAAGAAACAACATTAGGCTGCTGAAAAGATTACATTTCCATCATCGTATAATAAGGAAATTTTGATATCAAAGCCGAATTAAATATTTCGTATAAGCAACATCACTTTACTTTAAATCGTTCACTCAATTTATCTAGAAAACACGGTATCCACGTGCTCAGCTCATAATGTGCCTGAGGACGGCGCTACTCCTGAACACAACAAAAGTCCTCAGGAAAGGTTTTACAACGAATACAATATTTCTGTAATTTAATTACAAAGCCACTTCCCGATGTATACAGAAAGTCCACTTATTTCTTGAAAAATATTCAAGTCTGCAACACAAACCCAGTCACCACAGCGAATATGACTTTGCTAGAGATAAAATAAAATCCAACTTGCTATCCTTATCTCTAATTGCTTTTACACATATATCACACTCCAATGAAGCTCAAGGAATTCGACAAATGAGGGATGAGAATGAAAAGTGCAAACAGAATGCTAAACATTTGGTTACTTGAAAGTCAGTCACTTCAAGTAACAGAAGTTGTAATAAGCCTGGGATGTACCGAAATCCTAGAAGTTTCCAAGAGATACCTACACAAAAGCTTATAATTTTTTCTACACAACGAAACAGACTTGTAGCTACAGAGACCAAGAAAGATCCAAGACAAGAATCTCAACTCTTCATTATCAGATGACAACGTACTGACAAGTGGCAAATTATTCACATGAATCTGTATTTCACTTTTTAAACTTTTCAAGGAAGAGCTGAATTCAGTTATTCTCGACCAACGGATACATGGAGAATGCATAATAGAACCGAGACCAGTATATGGCTTTATTTAGTACACCACCTAACAAATATCTGCGCAACAGTGCAAAATTTCAAAGAAGGCTACTGCTTGGTGTGATTTTGAGCGCTGAACTTAGTTGCTTTTCTCCTCACCACTTGCTAATAAAAGTCATACCAATTTGTTACAACTTAAACGTAGTGAAGAACGTTCGGCAAGATTTTGAAACTGTTTATCACATCTTATTTTAGACACAGTAGCAAGACAAACAAGTTAAGATGCCTATGCATGAAATACACTTTTTCATAACATTACAAAACACCGTTACAATAACAATTATGTACTCATGCAGTTTCAGACGGCATACTCCTGATAATATCAGAATCTCCTGCATCAGTTATTGATAAAGTGCATACTCGGAACAATTTTCCACAAGCAGTCCCCAATTCAATATTATTTCCGTTATAATGATGAACTCCTGTTTTCGCCAGCATCGCGTAATATTCAATCTCACTTTTCCTAAAACCACTAAAGTTTCATTTCCAAAATACAATAAGTAGAGAGTAGTTCTAAGTAACCAGGTGTTTAGATTCATCTTTAATATTTGTTGCAATATAACCAATATTAATTTAAATCGAAATCACTTTCATATAATTAAACCCACTAACGAAAAACCAAATTAGAGTATAACGTAATATACTGCAAATAGGAAACTTAACAATGAAAGAGTGTAGGACATAATATGAGAGATAGATGGAATAAGTATACAGTGAACAGTTAGAAAAAGTACTAGCTCGCTCTAGCTAGAGCTCTTACAAACTAAACTGTATTTTGTACTGAGAATGACATTTCTCAGTACAAAATACAGTTTAGTTACGCTGTTTACCTCAGTAGAAGCAACAGATTACTTCCATCTGTACTCACAAAGTTCACACTCTTAGTTCTTCAATGCACAGTATGTAAATCTGAAATCAGTGCGTATCAAACCTGAGAGGTGGTGTATTATTAGCAATAATAACCAGCTTGACTTTGCCAGCCCGCAACGTTTTCAAAGTCTGCTTATAACCTAAGCAATACTTGCCACTTTTCATTACCATAGCAAGCCTAGCATTTATATTCTCCGTAGATTTCTTCTGAAAAATTAATACTGACAATTTAAGAAACGGAACTGAAGCTTGACAATATAATCATTTCTTCATGACAAAAATCATAATAGCATTTTATAAAAAGATAAATTGAAATATCTGCATATAATTTGGATAGGTAATTCTGCAGATTCGTGTCAAGTGATAAAAGTAAGGTCAACTTGATTCTAACTATTGCTCACAATGAACCCACACATTTATAGAGACTTAGAATCATGAAACTAAAAATCACAAACCTGCTTTTTAATTGCCATTTTTCTTCAACGATAATTTAGAAGGAACTGAAATACAACAAAACAAGAACACTGAACAGGACTATACCACTCACAACAATTCAGCCCAAATTCGGATACCAGTATGGAGGCAACTCAAAGCTAAGGCTAGTAGAGTCGTTATGCAACTATTAAATCTTCACTAAAAGAAAAAGGCTTCAGTTGGCATTGTGGACGCCAAATTAGGTAATGAGTTGATTGTTATTATTGTATAGTATTCTGTTTTTGATTTTCGCAAACTTTAAACATAATTCTTTTTGCAGTATCGGCTCTAACTTCGACTTTAATGACCGAAAAAACGGCATAGTACAGATGAGATAGCTAGTTTTCAATTATAGACTAGATTTATTTTGATACGGTTGCATTAAATATTTACGCTGCAGTTAGATCTGTGCAGTCGATTAAGTTTGCTTATTTTTATGGCATGTCCATTTTTGTGTGTATTTCATGTTCTCATATTTGGCTTGGCACTACTCTTTTCTTTGCAAATATTAAACTTAAAGTTGAAATACAGCTAGCGCGATTCTGCATAAACAAAGCATCGAGTGCTTTTTCCCATTCTAATTTATCATTTTGTGCGAGAGAGGAACAAAAAATTGTTTCTCCATTGGAAGAAGTGTTCGTATGTGCAAAAAGTTTTTATGGAATGATTGTTTTTGAGAGTTTTTTCAAATTTGAAACAACTGTTTGAATTGTTTAACAGTATCCATGTTTGCTAATAGTTCTCATAGTTTCTGTCTATTATTTTGCCAATATGGCATTACATTGCCCGGCTTCTAGTACTTTCTAGAATAATGTTTCTTCTTGTTGGTAGTAGTACCTTCTAGAAGAATGCTTGAAGATAAGGTAACAATTTGGATTTAGTTTTGGCGTATTCAAACAGTTATTGTAGTCATTGTATTTGGTGATCAAAATTAGTAATTTTGACCAAGTGATCAGTTGGTACTATCTGAAAGTTATAGACCGTTTATAAGAAATTTATTCGGAGCACGATATTGCTAAGGTATTGTCAACATTAAAGTGGAGATAACCATGACAGAGAGTTCAAAAAAGAATTCTGTAAACTGAAGTTATGAAATCTTGATTTTTAAAAGGATTTCAGCTTTCATATTGAGTGCTTCGTTATCTCCAAATGCTGTAGGCAGTACAGAACTTTAATTTGTAAGATTTCATTAAATTGTGAGCACGGTATGTTCATAAGCATTTTCAATTTCCATGTATAGTAGCGTCATCAGTTTGAAGTAAATATCTTCCTAAATCATCAGCATCATCCTCTAATTCAATGTTCTCTATTGATAATCGTGTACTATTAAACCATATGTTGTTATCATTGTCCATTTGCTCTGAAACACCTATCGAAGCCGAATTGTCTAGTTTGTCTGATGTTTGATGAGCATACTTACTCTCTTCCATTTTAACGCAGGACCCCTGAAATAGAAATGAAAGTAATCAGTACCTTAAGTGAGATAAATTTGCACCTGAAATTAAGGAAAGAATCACATAGCAGCTTGATTTGTTTCAGTTTAAAACATAACCCAAAAGTTTTGCTTAACGTTCCAATGTGTCTTTAATTTAGATTTTATTTTTCAGTTTTTTTTTTATTAATTTATGTAATATTTTAATGTATCCTCACGGTATCATTGCGGTTATCCATGTCAAAGTTTAGTTCGTATCCTGGTTTACATTGACAAGTAACTGTAATTTCATTGCAGTATGAACCATTCACATCACATTGCTCTTCTACAATAACGGTATTTTTGCAAAAACCACCGATAGTACCGTTTGTACGTTCATCGACCGAATCCATAAATACTATAGTTGTTAAATCACGACATCTTGCTGCTATGTCAATGAATCCTGGAAAAGTTCATCGAGATCATGCATGAAATCCTTGCGAAACATATAGTTGAGCCTTTTATAGTCGTGAGTTGGTAGATATAAGTTGAACATTTATAAGCTAACTGGTCGATGTGAGAGATCAATATTGTTAATAATATCATACAGGCAAATATGAGCTGTGTTATGTTACGTGAATTTATGAGACATTAGCAGTTTTTTATGACATTAATCATCTTACTTGCATTTAAGATTTGTGAATACTGAGCAAAGTAAAATGGAACCTTCGGGGCAAGCAAAGTAAAATGGAACCTTCGGGGCAGTGTGTTACACATTTCGATTGGTGTATCAATTTATTGCGGGGACATACGCAGTAACCACGTTCGCATCGGGCTTCGGAAACACGCATAGAACACTGATCGTTTTCTTCACATCCTTTCTGACCCAGATAAAGTACTGAAAGTAGGCAAAGCATGGCACTGAAAACGAAATTCTGGAATTTCTAACAAAACAAAGAGGAACTCAACAGCTCAACTTAACAATTTCGTACACATTACGTAGTTTGAATGATCAGTAGTTTATTTTCAGTACATTTCAAGCATGCACTCGATCAGTATGCAGTCAAACACTCTGTTGTAGATGTAATGAGTAACATGACAAAAAGTAAACTACATGATTCAGGTCTCAGCATTGTTCGAAATATCCATAGGATCAACACACAAATATCCACAGGATATTTCGGTCTGTGTGTTGAATAATTTTAAATTGCTCTGAGGTTGAGTCAGTTTTAATTACTTAATGTAATACCAGAAAAGAAGGTTCATAATTTATGTAGGATAAAATAACGCAATAATAAATATATTGTCTTACACTTCATACATCGTCCCTTGACCTTGGCTGATCCACGTTCGCAGATACTTTCAACAGGATCGGCAGCAAACCCAAGTGCTCCTTGAAAATTTTCTGGTAGACTTGAACAACACTGATAACGTGTATGCTGTGCAGAGTAATAGCATGCATAAGTTTGAGGGCACAATTCAGGATTGCAGCTTTGAATTCGATTCCAGTGATCCAACAATGGTTGTGATCCCACTGGACATCCTGACTGCGCGTCACCTGGAATAGTCCCTTGTAATATACATTTCGGTGATAATGCACTTCAGAAAGTTCTTTTTACTGCTGATATTGAATATGAAATAAGATCTTGCTAAGAAGTTTCAGAAAAGCACAGAACTTCCTCTTGCTAAGGAGTTTGTTTATGATTTCTTTTTTGAAGGATAAAAATTAGTTACCACTTCGCTAACTGTTCACTTCAGTAAATTTCAAGCTTCTCAAATAGGTGAACTTATTTTTGTAGGAAGTAGAGTTGGATTTACCCGTGATACTCAAAGTCTCGGACTGAATGATAGTTTCTGGTTGAGCAATAAAAGTGGTATCGATAGGTGCACAACAGTATGAATCCAACTTTTCAGCACTGTATATGCACAAATATTGTGCGGTTGTGGGACAAGGTCGCAGAGTCATGTGGCATGTTGAGGGTTCTTCGTTTGCATATCGGACGTACGGTATTTGGCCAATTGGACAGTATCCTTCGAAAGATTGTGCAGTGTTATTAATTTTATCACAAAAGGACGAAAGTTTCGCGTTAATTTCTTAGGATAATAGAAGGATATCAAAGTATTTTTAAAACTGTCAACAGCTCGTTGAGGCATGATGTCTACTTAAAACTATGCAATAGTCACATCGAATTTTACTGGTAGGTTTCTGCGAAGTGCCATATTTAGTTAACAATCAAATGTGATCCAAATTGTTGTGGCCAGATTTCTTAATCCAACATCTCTGATTTCTTTATTAAAAATTTATTAGAAGCAATGGCAAGTTTTTACTTGAGGAAGCAGTGAATTAGGTTAGTACTTTTCATATTGTAAAGAAAAAGGATTTCATACTTTAAGCGTGAAATACGATTCGTACTTCTAATCCATGTTACTGAAAAAAAAATTATTTAAATACCTGTATAAAGAGTATTCAGATGTCCCGATGTACAACACAAGTAATGACCAGTAGAAGTACTCTCCTGACACAAATAACCTGGTGGACAGTTGTTCATCAAAGGTGAACATTGCTGTGGTTCACTTGTTACTGTAAGAAGTAATGCTTTAATTTTAAGCAAATCTGCATCCAGCGATCAATTTTACAAAGACATCTGTCATGGGTCATATCTAAACTCACACTTAATCACTGCAGACAAAATACTTGATGGTAACCTGGTTCAATGTATGCTATACCACCAGCACACATAAGTACTGGTGAAAGTGACGCAGAACAGCAAAGATGTACACTGTATACGGTAGATCTAGTGCAAGTATAGCCATTTGGGCAACGGTTTGAGCCTGGTGGACATGCTAGAGGACGATTTGCATAAAGGTAGGCAGAGGAGCCAACTGGACATTCTGCAGCAGCAGCAAGATCCAAGCAGCAGAACGTGGTAGAGCCATCTACTGACGGGTGGCAGCTAAAAATACAATTGACTTCACTTTAGAACTGAAAAAGACGTAGTGTGGTCTGATTTACTGTATTTTGTACCTATAAAATATGCGTAGAACGGTAAGCAATGGACTTCAAGGTCGTAATAACTCAAATAAGATTAAAACAATGTAGAAAGTAGTAGAATATTTTTGTTTGAGAAGAAAACATTAGTAGTTTGAAGTGTACAGAATTTTATAGCCAGTGCCTCATACACTTACCATTCTAAACTACTGAAGTGAGATAAATATCAAAGAGATGCGAGGAAATTCAAGAAAAAATAAAAATTTTTGCAAAGGAACTAATAATTCGGAACAAATAGCTGTCATCAATCATAATTGTTTTCTATAGAAGTAGTTTTTAGGTTGAAAAGTTGATGGAAACAAACAGAAATAGATAGATCAGTTTAATACATTTCATGGATGCGAGTTTCAGTGCTGAATATTGGTGAAAATATAATCAGTCTTTTATTATCAGCATCGAACTTGAAAAATTTAGATTAAAGTTAATGTAATTAATTTACCTGTAGCCTGGAGGGCAACTATTGAATTTGATACTGCACGTTTGTGGAACCGAGGAACCAGGTGGTGTGTACGCTTTGTGACCATTGATACATTCATTGGGAGATACGGGACAGCAGTAGTACAAGCCACCGGATTTTGCCACTTGACAGCTAAAGTTAGCAGGACACTGACCACGATGAGAGGTTAAGCACTGTCTTGGTGTTCGTGAGCCGGAAAAATTATCTTTTATAGTTAAAATACTCACTATATCTCAGATTCCAACTTACCACAGTAACATTAGTTTTTCCACGCTTGATCGTGAAAAGTTCAATTGTAATTGTAACTATGAATATTTACTAGCCTTCAAGACAATTTTGGATTTAATTCCCATAACTTTCGGCTTTTTAGCAAAATATTTGTTGTTATAAAATAATTTTCACATATAAACTTGAGAAGATGATTTTTTTGGCAGAGTTTCCTTGTGTGCAATTGCAATCAATGATTACTAGCTGTAACATGTGCAAATAAGTTTTGAAAACAATGTAAAACTTACCAGGGTCATAAAATGGAATGCGGTCATTAGAACAAAGTGGCGTGATCACATTAGGACGTAAAAATCTTGACGTTGCAGACGGGTGAGATGCAAATTTACAGCAAATATTTATGTTTGGTACTGATGATATCAAACAAGCAGTACCTTTTGGGCACACTTCTAATCCTTGACCACAGATATGAGCCTCAAAAAATGTTTTCCTGTTCTTAGTTTCACGACTTCTCGTTATGTAATAAAAAATGGTACATATCGTATAACAGTTTTAAGTCTTTTATGAAATACTTACTGACTACAAAAGTTTACTAAAATCATATGGAAACATTTTAGAGTTCACAAGAACCGTATTACTTGATAAATTCTGACAGAAGTTTGCTTTCACTAAAAACATCTTTCAAGACTGCTGTCAAATACTCCAGGTACACGTAGCAGTTACAAACCTTTCGTCGTGTCGTGTAGTAAGTCTTTCCTTTGAGGCAAACTGGTCTTGCTTTGCAACATAAACCATTACGGGATGGTAAATGATTCAGACATGTATATCCTTTTGGACAATTTACGTCAGCATTAATGTCACAAGTCTGACCATTACTTGCAAGATTTTCAGGGCAAACTGCTTCTGGTTCCGAAACCATGTCCAAAGCATTACCAGTTGATTGCAAGCAACACATGTAGAAACCTGGCACTGAACTGAAATTCATTTCTGACCTCATTTAAACAGTTACTGTAATCTGATTTAATTTTTGTGACACAAGTACTAAGCGATCATTACAATAAATCTGTAGTATCATATCAAATAATATTTATTTGTTTCTTATAGATTTCGGAGTACTTTTTTCACTGTAAATTACAGGAATTTCATTCAGTTAAAAATTATGTAAGTTTTGAAGGAAAAATTTTGATAAACAAAAAGGCAGTTTTCTTGTCAATTCCTAATCATTATTAGTAATACTTATCTTTTAGTCAGCATGATCCTAAGAGCAATAGCTCTGCTCTGATCTAATGGCTCCCAAAAGTTTTAGCAGCAGAAAAAAAAAAGTTCAAGCGAATGTGGTGGGTATTTTATTTCAATTAAATAACTACATTGCTGATGATTAATTGTTATTACGATGACAGAATGCACTGCTACCTTTCCATACAATCTGACGATGTTGGGCAAATGTCGTTATCTGGTCGACAACTGACAAATGAATCAGAATCTAAAAAACGAAAATTTTCTGCTTGTTTATTTACAACAGCAATATGGTATACTATATGTAATTAAAATGACAGAAAAAAATACAAAGAATGTATTTATTTTAATTAATCAATAGAAGGAATTAACGGATAGTGTGTATTACATACTTGGGATGACGTATGGTATGCGATGGTCAGGACACTTAGCTTCTGTTGTGCAGCAGATGGGAGTATTGGTAGATGATGGGACACACGATGACCACTCTGGACATGAACCAGCAATATTCAGTTTGCAAGTCTTAATTTGATACTCTTGAATTTTCGATTGCATTATTAGGCATTTGTAACAGAGTATAGTTACCCGAACAGTGGTAATTTTTCAGAAGTACAATAACATGTTTCCGACTACGTTGGGTATAACAAAAAGTTCATAGAAAAGCACCAACCCTCGGGAGCGTTTTTTGGTCATCTAAAACTAATGACATTCCTAAAGGACATTTGCCAAGTTTTTGATTCTTCGCACAATGCATCATGCAAGCTTCTTCACTTGTAAAACGATTTGCTGTGCCATCGCAGCCTGAAAACGAACTTCGAAAAGCAAGTTCATAAGTCTGCTTCAGTCAAAAAGGTTATAAATTCTAAATATCAGGATAATAAATTTGTATACCTAAATATGTAAACTGTAAGCAGCTTTCACTGACTGCATTATAATACCAAGCAGTTTGCTTTCTCGACATCGAGCATAAATTTCCACTACTCATAGGAACTGAACATGCAAATTCTGAAAACCAAATCTGCTCATGGTTGTCTTTTGCAACCAATATTTGGTTTTATTAAGGATAATCAGTGAATTGCAACCATTCTAATGAAAATTGTCAAAATATTTAAAATTTGCAACTTTTCAACAAAGAAACAATGCACAAATTATGTTATTCCTTCTGGTGCAGTCAAAATAAATTCAAACAATTTAAACGTTTGATTTGCTAGGTCATATGAGGAGAGTAAACATATCAAAAAAAATAATTTGCCTGCTTTCTTATATCTATCACTGCAAATTCATTAAAATTTTTCTGAGAACTATTTGATTCATATTTCAATATATTTTGACTGCACCAGAAGGAACAACATAATTTGTGCTTAACAAATTCAAATGGTGAATTCATTAGTTGTACAAAAATACAAGCTAACCAGGCGTAGGGCAACAGTACTGTTTTTTGTTACAGTAATATCCGGAAGGGCATGTTGAAAAGGTATTACACTTCTGTAAGCGTCCACTTGGATCTTTTAGTGCAGCACTGCTATCGCAAACTGAAAGTGATTACAAAAAAAATATTTTTTCGGAAGACTGAAATGAGTATTTTTATTCGGTATTAAAATGGTGTAAAAGATGCCTATCTGCAAGTTAATTAGAATACCAGAAAATTGGCATTTTCGATATTTTAGCTTTCAGCAATAGAATGCCTGAGGAATGCAAACGCATATAGAATGCCTTAGGGGATTTCTCAACTCACCTTGTTCAGCATTGAACAAGCAAAAATCTTCACACTGTGTTTCGTTACGGAAATTGTTGCTGTTACCAGAACATCCATAGTAGTCAAAAGCTTGACATTTTTGTCTTTTTTGATCAAAGTAATATCGCCGAGTGGTCATCGACTTGCCAAAACACGTCGTCCCAGCAGAGGGTGCTTCATTGCACACTTTTTCTTTAATTACCAACATTATAATTACTCAAGATCACAAATATGCTGTGCTTAGCCGAGAAATTCCGTTGTTACTGACTCGTTTAATAAAATACGTGTATCTTTTGAAAATGCTATTTGTAATATATTATAGATTGCTAACGTGGATCAGGACAACATATCGAGACAGGTCCGAAGACTGGCTCTTGACAGGTAAATTGCTCTGGACAAGACTTTCGGACCTGCGGAGAACATGCTGCATTTACCGCGTCCATACGGTATGCCACACCAACTTCACATTGCTCTAAAATGCAATTTGTCCTCAAATTGTACATTTGTTTACTTTTGTATAACTAATTTCACCTTTAAAAGCAATGAAATCGTGCAAAAGAGCTTTGCTGTTTAGTGTCGAGTGTAATTACCTTAAATTTGTCTGTCTAAACAGCTCAATTCAGTAAATATTTACCAAAAGTAAAGTAATTAGCTGAGTAGAAGGAAGTGAACAGCCAATCACTTCAGTTTTCGGATAAATTATTATTATTAGAGTTAAGTTTATTCTTGAAAACTTGCGCATTTTGCAATGTTAGAATAAATTTGTGCATTAGTTACGCAAGCTTTAGGTGGAGTCCGAAAACGTACGAGCAAGACAAAAGCTTTGACACTGCTCCATACTCTCGAAATTATTATCATTTCCATTGCAACCACTGTAGTTGAATAATCTGCATGTGCCTGTTTTTGTATCGAAATAATAACGGGTAACTATCACTCTCCACTGGTCACTTCCACATTCACCGGCTTCTTGCGGCAAATGACAAATTTTTTCTAAAATCCATCCGAAAGCATCAAAAACCCTCTACAACTTTTCTTTTGTCATTGATTATTTCAAACATTTTGCTATCTGATACAGAATTTGTAATGAATAAGATTGGTCAGTAGACAAATTTTAAACGCTTAAAAAGTTAATTCTAATAAGACTTGAAAAATCCTTAATTTTATTAGCAGAATTGGTCTTTTTTGGCATCCAACAAATAACTACTAACCTTGTGAAGGACAACAATAATTTTTCTTGTTGCTTGTTACACAGAAGTATCCATTAGGACAAGGTGACTTTTCGGAACATGACGTGGGACCACTATAAAGAGGTTTGCCAGCAGGACAAACCTCTAAAAAGATGATAAAATATGACAGCTACAAAACGAACTGAAGATCATGGTGTAGTTTTAAGAACTACAAATGAACATAACTGTAGCAAAACTTGGATTGGTCATTCATTATTGATAGCGAAACTAGTCAAATATCGAAGTTTAAGCTAGTAATTTTTCCGTTTCTATCATTTTAGAGTTTACTATCTTAAAAACTGTTCAAACTTACTTTGTGCTGCAAAATTTGTGTCTGAACAACAAATGTTAGCATTGGCAGTAGTGCTAGGGACACATGCAAAGCCATTCTCACATGACCTAGAGTTGTAAAATGATGCCAAAAATTGTTTCTCAGTTGTTTTCTAATTCTAACAAGCCATTGGCGATAGCAAAGTTCAGTTCATTTAACCATACAGTAACAAAGTCTTTTATGACAGTTTGTTCGTACTTATTTTGAAGTAGATCAGAAATAGAGTAATTAAAAGTTAGCATACAAATTAAATGCTAAGAATCTTTCTAGAAATAAGTGATCATAATAATTTGGATATGTTTATTCAAAATTAATTAAAAAAGAGAAAGTAACAGAATTACAACCTCACTGATGAGCAAATTACAAAAGAATTGGTTTTTCGATTGATCTGTGCAGCTGAATTTGGTGGGCAACCAAAATGTTTACCACAACATCGGAAACCGAAGTCATTATTGACGGCGCCATTTCGGATAAGAGTACATGAAAAACCTGGCGGACAAGAACTTTCATCCCTTACTGAGCAAATTTGAGGCTTTCCGTTTGAATTCTGAAATTTATTCTGCGCTGTGAAAATAGTAATAATTCATCATTATTATTCTCCTATTTATAGTTAACAAAGTCGGTGTGATATAGTAATTAGTGCTTCAATTAATTATGCAAACTTTTTGAATAACAAATATTGTATAAATTCGCCAAGTGATCAATTTGTTCACATTTGACTGCATATAAATAAGAATTATTGCCTGAATTGAAGATATTAAAAAAACAGTTAGAAGACAACACAAAATGAACAGCAGTGAAGGTGATTCTCCATTCATGAATGTCTGAATCATAGATTTACTACGTTCCACGTAATTTTTCAAGTATTATAACATGAATAGACGACGTCGACGTCGACGTAAACTGCCCATTCCAAGATTATAAAAGTACTCTTATTTTTCCTGAAGATTTGGTTTTTTTTTTTAAATTTGGCCATACCTTGAAATAAGTTACTTCATCATTCTGACAATAATATTCAGCATCTTCTGTTTCATCTCCAGCACCTTGACAGCAATATGCGGTACCAGTTTTGCCGTATTTAGTACAACTATATCCTGAACAATAGTAAAATAAAAATGTGACTATGAGGAGTGCTAGAGTGAAGACTGAATTTGATTTCAAAAAGTGAGTTAAAAACCGGATTAAGTTTATTGACTGAACTGACCATCAGGGCAACTGCTGATCGATGGGTTGCAAACGACAGGAGCACTCAAGCGAGTTAGAGGGGTACCATTTCCGCACAAATCCTCTGAAATAAGGACCGCAATGGTAACTCCGATGTAACAGATCACTTTTTAATCTGGATAACTTTTAATTTTCCAGCTAGAAGACAAACGCAGTACTTAATCCTTAAGTTCACCTATTTACCCAAAAGCATTATGGGAGTACAAAATCTGTGGAATGGAAAACGAGAATGTGTCAACGAACGAGTCAGTGATTCATTATCTGCCTTATTTATTATGCAGTTACTGCCACATAATTATTGATATTATCCAAATTGGGATCTTCAATATAAACTTTTAACGGATTATTTTTCAGTTGCAAGATTACTTCCGATCTTAAAGGTATTCAGAAGAGAAACAATAGATTTCGGAGAGTGACTTTAGATATTAGCATTTTGTGACGATAGAAAGTAATATACTCTCAAAAATTAGTTGTAAATAAAGTAATGTATTGTAAGGAAAATTGTATTCTAAGAATAGAAAAGCATATTTCACAGAATATGCAGTAGCAGTTATCATAACCGTTCATATTGAATATACAGATCAGAGCGACGTTGTGGAATAATTTTGTGACTGGATAGATGGAAGGAAGGAAGAGGGATGGCATTTGTTCAACAACAAAAGTTACTTGTCGAACAGTTTGCTAAAAAGAGAGCAGTAAATCTGCCTAGCATTCACCAGGTGCTTGAAACTGAGGCAATAAGAATGGATCAGCTTCATCTGCTAATCTAATTTCTTCCATGCATTCCAATAATTTTGTATTGAAATAATTGCCATCCGGACACTTGCGCAAAGAAAACTGCCTGAAGAAGTGAGTGATTCAGTTTTAAATTAGATTCCTTTATTTAAAGATAAATTCAAAAAGTAAGCTTAATATGTATGGTGAAAGCGGCAAAAAAAATTACCCTTGCGAATCGCAATAAAAATATGTGTTGTTGTTTACTGCAGACGGTTTTCGAACTTGTGAACTTGGATCACATTCCGAAGTTAAGCTAAATACCATCGATGGTATTTGCGAAAAATAAACCTGAAAATATCAACAAATTCCATTCATCAGATACTGTTAATGATGATTGAGTTACAAATGGACTAGTACTGCCAATAAGCGAACCTTGCTTATTTTTAAGCATTGTTTAAGATTTTAGCATTTTAAGAACTGCATGAATAAATTTATTAGTGTGCTATATTCTGACTGTTTAAAGTGCTCCGTAATTGCATTTAATTTTAGGCAAAATTGTTCAGCACGAAGATTCGCGCTATTTGCGTCTATCTACGTGGTTCACTACCTGAGAAGATCAAGCCAAATGCTCAAATTTAAATACTTTGATTATTACTTATTATTCAATCAATTAATCAATTTCAAAGTTGTTATAAAACCAAAGCAAAAAAATTTTTAAAATGGCGTATTTGAGATAAAAATGTGTGCAAAATTATAACTATCCGTTGGAAATACTAGACAAAAAGTGTGATAAAATAGTAAATATTAAATAAACTCATAACAACTACAACAGTACTTACAGATAAAATAATTAGATGAGGATGTGACATCATAATGAACAGAAATATTATATAGCAAGCGGTGTACACGTTTGCGCGACCAAAGACAATAACGTGTGCTCAAAGTATTTGACAAAAGCTAACTTTCGTCCCAAATGTATTTATTGGGTGTGTGTGTACATTATGCTTAGTTGATAGCTAAACAAACCAACCAGTCTTAACTCAGAGTGTACTTGTTTTGAGACAATTTTTAAGTTATCCCATACAGACATCTCTCTTTACCCAGAAATGTTTGTGCAGACACATATACGAATGTAAAACATGCTAGAAAAGCAAATTCTCGGTAACATTTCTATTGGCTAGCAACTGGTCAGTTGTGTCATCATCACTAGCTGTTACAGCAATTTCTTTACTTACTATCTCACTAGAAGTCAACTATTTTCTAGTTTGCGCACTAAAGTGAGCAAGCAGTGCTCGAGGAAACTGATTCATCTCCTTTACCGCCCGTTACATGTAGCACTCAGTATAAGAAAATATTTGCATACGCCCTGCTTGTGTGCTTTTGTGCTTGTGTGCTTACTCAAGTAATTATTGTAAAATAAAATTACAAAAAAAAGTATTTTAGATTTTTGAAAATATTCAAGTAATGCTGTCACTGTGGTACCAAATTGGTGGCAATTATTTGGAATAAACCAAACAACTGAATATGTAACCAAGAAGTAATGAGTGAATTTATTCAACAGTTATATTGTTTTGTCACTTCTGGTAGAAACATGAGAGAACAGAAGACTTTTCAACACATTCAACTGAAAACGTTGTAATTATATGCTGTAAAAAACATAAGAAGTAGAAATTTAACTCCAAATAGCTTGACTTCTTAGACTGTCTGTTAAATTATGCATCACTTATCACATTTATTCATACCTTCCACTTTTATGACGTTTTTCATGATTCACGAAGTTTGCGAGATATAGAAAATCTCTATCACATATCGTACATTTGTAACATGTCACACGAGAATGCTTCGTTTTGTGTGAAGACAAAGATCTTTTAGATGGAAATTTGCGTGAACAATTACGGCATTCAAATAGGGTTTGATTTGGTGGACTTAGTACAACTATTTTTTGGATTTCAACTTTTTCAGCACATCTTTTGCGTTTGCCAACATTTTTAGAATTTGAAATTGAAACGTTTGACGAATTTGACTTCAGTTCCGAAAATTGGTGCCTCATTGTAATACTTGGCAGTGTTGCAGGAGTTTTTTCAGGTTGTTTTGCAGAATCATTTACTTTCTGCAAATTCGTTTAATTAGACTATTACTTCCGATAATTTAGATTTAGGAAGTAGCGCATGAAATTTAAAATATTTACTGTTTTTGTGTAAATATTTAGGAAGAGTGTTAATGGAGCCGTGGTATGACCAACGCATTCAGTTCCTGCAAGTATAGTTAACGGTAAAACGAAATACTCAATTATCAAAACCATTTATTACAATGCTAATTATTTTTACCTACTGCTGACGCTAAACTCATTGTACACGTTTGTTTTGTCTGAGGCGCGGATTTCTGAAACGAGAAATTATGAAAAATAGCTTTCAGTGAATTCAACATACACTGTGATGCAAAAAATTACCAAAGATGAATCAAACTCTCTTAATCCTTCATTTTGTTGTGCACATCTGTGGTCGGAGACATTTTCTGAAATTTTATACTGTACAGGATTGGAAAATCCTTTAAATGTATTTCATATATAAATTTAAATGTTTTGTACCTCGCAGGCACGTCAAATCAAGCGTGTTCCTTCGTTTAGCTGAGTCAGTTGACTCCTAAAAATGAATGAGAAAAAATTTTTCAATTTTATGCAAAAATAAATCTTTGTAAAAAAAATTACTGTATCTGAATATGAAGTGAATGATTCTGCGTAATCATTGCCATCTATATTTCCTGCAAAACATTAAATTTATTGATAAGAAACTGCCAATGTAAAGTCACCTCAGTCTGTAATAATTTTTGCTACCTTTGGGCCATGTTGAGTAAAGTGAATCTGCTCCATCTGTACAATCCAAATTCTGCAAATATTCTTTGAAAAATCTTCGAGCAAAAATCTGATCATTATTTGACACCAAAAGTAGTTTCAAGTGAACAAATACCGTGTCTGCATTCGAATCGCTAGCTCGATTGAAATTTGTTTGACATATCTGCGTAAATTCATTTGTGCGATACATCCTCCCTACAGAAATAGAATTTTAATTCAGTTTTGGGAAACTTTTATGAAGTAATATGCAAATAAAAAAATTATTACCTATACGAAGTGTCAGATCATACGCTTCTGTTTGTTCCGTTGAATCCAGAGAACTCTATAAATTGATTATATTAATTGATGACTGAATTTAAAATTTTTGAGATTTTGTAAAGACTTTCATAATCTTCAGATTTGATGAGCACCGTATCTGAATCAAAGGTGCATGAATCTGAATGAATCAGAAGCATTCGACTTGATTGCTCGCAATTATTGAAGGGCACCTCTGCTGAAAAAATTAAGTTTTAATTTTATTGGCGTACGTATCTTTCTATTCTAATCATCAATTGTAAAATTTTCTTCACTTCTTGGCTGATCAAACGTTAAATCAAATGCGCTAGTTTGCTCCATCGAATCCATAGAACCCTAAAAATTAATAAAGTTATTGTTCATCTGAATCAAAATTTGACATATATATATGATATGCTATCAGTTACCGTGTTTTCATCGAAAAAGCATGGTTCCATGTATTTTCTCACACTGTTATTTCCTAAAAAAAGTGCATTGATTCTAGTAATGTCTACGGTTTCAAGCAAGAAACATTTTAATGAATTATATTACTTGAAAGTAAATCCATTGACTTATCATAAATCAGATTATCCATCGCTGCCTATAAATTTTTACAATTAGATACTTATATTCAGAAATATTCAGAAAAGTGAGATATCTAATTTTTGCTGCTTTAAATAATTAGTCTTATTTTTGAAGACATTTTTCAAATTTTAGAGTCAAGTATTGCATAACAAAAACTATGTGCTTACAATGCTTTGGATCAGAAACAGAAATATGAGCCACATGATGGAAAGTGACAGTTGTTGAGACAATGGACAAATGTCTGAAATTTGAAATTTACATGAAATGGTTCTTGAAAATATTCTTGCAGAAAACTATGCTATCAATATCAATAATCATAGGAATAGTATTAATTTGATGTATGCTGACGTTTTTTGAATTAAAATTAAACGTGATATCGCCTTGGCTTAGCGAAAACATATTATATATGTGTGTGTGGAGGAGCTTACGCTGCTTCCGTTTTTACTGCGGATTATTCTGCCAATAACCACAAGTAAATAAAATTTGCATAAGCTTTACTCACTATTGAAACGAATCACATGCATGTGCTGTGTAAAACTCTAACACTTGTTCTGGTGTGAACTAAGCACATGATCTTTGTAGAGACTAAAATACTCTGTGGTTCTTCCTAATTCTGCACTGCAATTTACTTTATTCTCGCATATTGCGATCTCTTCATGACAATGCCAAAGGAAGAGCTATCGAAGTTGTAACGAAGTTTAAAAAAATCAAATCTCGCAACAAACTGTGTTGATTGCATAAAGGATGAAAGCGCACAACAAGCACTTGCGAGTCAGAGAGGTCAAGTAACTACTCATTAGTAATATCTCAATAAAAGCAATATTAAAGGTCATAGGTTGTATGGCCTGAAATTACACATGGAAGTTGCAGTTCAAAGGTCTCAATCTGGAAAATTCCAGTTGGATTCAGAGCTGGTTACAAACGTACTCCCATTAAAAAACTGTGACGAGCTCAGTTCTCTTTTTTGCTAACAAAAAGATCGCATGGACACTAAACGAAACTGCAATACTGAAGAAAGTCAATATTTCCGTATGAAAAATCTGCTTTGAGACGCAGAAGTTGCATAGAGGATTTTTTTTTTTAAATTTTGCTGATGAGCTTAGAGTTGCTTCAATGGCAGTATTAAGGGTTCTTTTTTTCCCGTTTAATATTATCTTACTACAGTTTTTATACCGCAAACTATATTTTGAGGCTTATTCAAGCATAAATTTTAGTTACTAGTCATTGGAACACAATAATGCTGGAATCTTGACAGATTATATGCATTTCAAACTTCTAATGTGATTGGTTTTGTTTCAGGCTCGTATTTATCAGCACGAAGAGTGGCTTAGATGTATGAGAGTGGTGAGAAGATTTCTGATGAACGAGAAGAAAGTCATGCAGATCTATGGGTTGTTTAACTTGTTTTTAAACTATGATCATAACAAATATCATGGAAGTGTGTTTTTTAAACATGAGGTTGAGGGAGGACCCGAGCATCAAACAAACTGGAGCCTGCAAATTCCGATTTTTAGAGCTTTTCAAATTTCGGTTGATTGGTCTTCATAGTAGTCTTCTGATGTATTAAGTGGGGGCGAATTTTTGTGAACAGAAACAATTCCATTCATTTTAGAAGAAAGAATGGATTGATGTTGAAATTTGACCAAAATTTTATAGATATTGCATTATATTTATTGTGATCATTAATAATAGAAATAATAATTACTGTCTGCATTCAAAATCTTTATTGATCTCTATTGCATTTGCATAATTTTCAGCGAAATTATATGCAGTCCAAAAAAGCGAAACTTGAACATCAAGTGAATGTGCTTGATAAGTGCAATACTGTTTCCGATATTTTTAAAGGCATCTCAATTTTCGTGAATGGTTACACTGGTAATACTTAGTATTCCTTTTTGTAGAAACATAAGAGTAGGAAAGCAGTCGTTAGTAATCTTGGTGAGGAGTGAGCTATTTTCAGGAAGTTCTATAAAATAAATATCTACTTGGGAGTTTGAAAATTTTTTCGTTTTCACTCTATCATTATGTTAAATTAATAGTCTCATTAATTTAGCAATCAAATAGAAAAGTTTTTCAGTTTTAACTGCTGAAATATCACCGTGATCGTATTGTATCGTTTAAATCTATTTTGTATAAGTCTGTCTTTGAACTAAAAGCTCATATCATTTTAGATCCATCAGCAGCTGAACTACGCAGGTTAATACATTTGCATGGTGGCCAATATCATATATATTATTTGCATGGCCGCACAACTTATACAGTTGCTACTCATTTAGCTGCGGGTAAAATAAACAAACTTCGTAAAGATGAGAAAGTTATCCATCCGAAGTGGATCACTGATAGGTTATCCTACTTTCTAAATGGTCATCAAATCATCTTTGCATATTCTAAAAAATCTGTCGGAAGGAGTATTTTTTTGATAAAATTACTGATAAGTACGATTTTTGTTCTTCATATCGACAGTCTATAATAATTGTTTAAAACTTATTAAAGAAACCAATAAAATATAAGTTGTGGAGTTAGATTGAAAATTTTCTACAATTGCAGTATAGATGCAGGAATTCGATTGCATGAAAGTAAATATTTGTTGTACGAGAGTGGTACAAAAAAATTAGCCGTGAACTATGGTGCCAGCACTTCAAAAGCTGCTCAAAGTGCAGCTAATGACCCGAATTTCGTAAACCACTTCTACGAAAGGTTACTCTCATAATCCAATGCAATGGTTTCAATTTGGATGATCTTGTCTCTAGAATAAATTTATGATAAAAAAGGCTATACTAATCTTCAAAATATCAGTTATATACAAATTGATTTACTTTTAACCGAAGTAATCTGAAATTATATCATAAGGCATTTTAATATAGACAATAATTGAAAAGTGAATACATTTCAGATCTCGTTTACACCTGATATCAACCCTGGCTCAGGAAATGAAACTTTACATAAATGAATTGAGAGAAAATGGAATTAGTGACTTTTCATCTCGAGGAAATTTACTTCATTTGGTTGACGAAAATTTTGTCGAGTAAGTAATTTTATTTTAATTTCACTGGAACATTGTTATTGAATGAATGCATTCATTTTCTTAGCAAACATCTCTGTTGCCATCAGCCATGAAACCGAATGTAAAGTGGCTTTTCAGAAACATATTTATCTTTGCTTATCGCGCTGTTTGCCGTAGTGTAAAAGAAATGACAGCTTTAAGTGAAGTATTTTTTTTTTGTAATGGCACCGTTGTATTATATTTCAGTGAAACAGTCGGTATTTCAGGCCTCCAAAAGAAACAATTTGCCATATTGATTTGGATTGTTTTTTCGTGTCAGTAGCATTAAGAAATCGGATGGATTTGATTGGAAAACCAGTAGCTATAACTCATTCAAAAGTATTTGTTTGTATGTGTTACCCAAAAAACTTGAATTTTTTAAAATATACTCACTAATCTTGCTTTGTTATTTTTGCTTCGTTGGAAAGATGTTTTTAGAATAATTTTATAAAAAAGTAAGTAGCATATTTGTATCTCTTTTATACTTCAACAAATATATTTACTTTTAGTGTCTTTTTTAAGGATACGGAAGGCCCAGGCATGTCAGAGATTGCATCTTGTAGTTATGAAGCAAGAGCGCGAGGTGTTCGTAATGGTTCTTTTATTAAGGATGCCCGAAAAGTGTGTCCAGATCTCATTTGTCTTCCTTATCAGTTCGAGGAATATCGACGAATTTCGAAAGAAATATATACAATTATTTCCAGGTATTTTTCTATTAAAAAATTCTGAAAATTATAGTTTGACTATTATAATTAAGATTTTAAAATATTTCAAATATTTCACTTTAATCATTCTTCGCAGGTACACGCTTCATATCCATGCAGTTAGTTGTGACGAAATGTATGTCGATTTGAAAAATTTATGTGCTGATATGCATATATCCAATATAATGCAAATTGTGTCCTTAATACGGAGAGACATTCTGACTACAACTCAATGTAATGCATCAGTTGGTGTGGGTGCGTCACTTATTTTTGTGCTTATTAAACTTTTTTTTCATTTGTTTGAGATTCTCTTTTTTTAACAAAAGTTCATGCAGGAAATACAATGTTAATGGCTCGCATAGCAACACGTCATGCTAAGCCAAATAATCAGTTTGTAATCAGATGTAGCGATGTCAATGAATTCATTAGAAGAGAGGAGATTCTGTCCCTACCAGGAATTGGATATAATGTGTACTCAAAACTTCAAAAGTGGAGTTATCTTGTTCATAATTAATTGTTCTATGGGTTATCGTAAGTATGATTTAAAAACTTCAGTGTTTTTGTATTGTTCTATTTGATGTTTTTCAGTGCTTTTGGAAGAATTAAAACGTGTGGAGATCTTCAAAAATTATCGATCGATCAACTGCAAAATCTTCTCGGGGATAAAACTGGTACTCAGGTTAGTATCAGAGAACTGTTAACGCTTTTCTTAGAACTCAAAATGATCCAGAAATAATTTAGAACAGGCATGAAGTACATGTAAGCTGATGAATTATTTGATTACTTAAGATTTTATTAATGCTTGCTTTTTTCAAAAATATTGATTTAATTTTTCTGGCTTATCAGTATGCTATTTTCTTTGTTTTTATTTTCAGATTTACAATATGTGCAGGGGAATAGACAAGCAGAGGGATTTCTTAGAGAAAGTTGTTCGTAAATCTGTTTCTTGCGACATAAATTATGGGATCCGGTTTACGCAGGTATTTTTGAAAATTATGAAAAAATAAAGATTTATTTTCATTTCTATGCCAAATGCTTTAAAGTAAATACGAGTAATATCAGGCTTTTTGAAGAAAAAACTCAGATAGATCAATCACAGCAGGGAATCGATTTTATTAGCACTGCATTTTTTTATTATTTAGGAAATAGAATTGGAGGAATTTCTTGGAAAAATGTGTTCAGAGTTGGAACGGAAACTCGATTTAGCCCGTTTAACTGCGTCTACTATATCGTTAAAATTTTTGGTAAATGCTGCCTTTTTTTGTTGCTAGAGTGGACACACAATATTTATTTCCCTAGTGCATTAACGGTTGATTTGTTTTTTATTTTGTGAATGGAGTACGAATTCAGATTCGTTCGCCAGATGCCCCGATAAAAACAGAAAAGTATTTGGGCTGCGGGAAGTGTGACGCAGTGACGAAATCAATTCATTTATCTGATGCAACTGCGAATAGAGCTGTCTTGTTTGCAGAAGTAAAAAAGTTGATGAAAACAATAAAGCTAGTAATATCTGATTTAAGAGGAGTAATTTTTTCTTCATATTTTATAAATAAATTACGAATTGAGATTTGGATACTAAATAGGATGATAAAAACAGAGAAGGGTTTATTTGTTGCCCTATATATTTCTATATTCTTTTAAGTTCAGTTCATTACATATTTTTTAACCTTCCTTTATAATATTTTTTGTCTGCTGTTTGTACAAGAAAGTCTCCATTTGTTTCCGTTTGCATTAAAAGGTTACCTTTTTTTGTATGCTTGGTAGATAACTCTAAAATTGAACTTTATATTTTGCAGATTGGTATTCAGTTGACTCATTTGAAGGAGATGCCAAAAGAATCAGTTAAGAAACAACATACCTTCACAAACACATTGACTCAGTTTTTTGCAGTGAAAAGTAAGGGAGAACATTGTGCTGGTTTAAAAAGAAAATCTATGGATGAAGAAGAAGCGGCTTTGAAAGAAGCGGTGAAGAAGTCTCTGAAAGAATTCAAATATGCTAGTCGAGTAAGCTTATACTGTTTAAATATTTACCTGCATGACGACTAATAATTGGAGCTAAAAACAATTGTAAAATGCTTCATACGTGTCTTTCATTACATGAGCTTTTATTTGGTGATCGAGGGTAAAAACGGATGCTAGAGACACAAAGCATCTATCTCATAAGCTTATGTTCTTTAGAGCTTTTTTTTTCTTTTGACGTATGATTTTAAACTCAATTATATGAACAAAGTTAATGATTGTAATGGGGCACAACTCTAATCCTTAATTTTTAGTGACATGAAACTTTCATTTTTTCAGTATAAGAAAGAAACTATTCATCCAGACTATCGAAATTATTTCGAAGATGCCGATGTGAAAGCCGAGTTTTTACAAGTAATGAACAAATCCTTGTGTAAGTTTTTGTAAAAATTTGAGATTTGATAGTTAGAAAAAGCTTTTCGAAAAAAAAACTAATTGATAAAGCAGAATTAAATTCTGTTGCACTTACTGAACGTGCATATTTTATCCAAAGAAAAAAAGGACGGATTTTGATTAAGCTGTTTATCTGTTTTGATCAATATCGCATTTATTTATGTGCTGTTACCTTTTTTTAGATCCAAACAGGGAGCAGGTATCAGAGATAGCAGCGTATTTCAGCTTGCTAGTTAGAAATGGTGATTTAAGTGATATGTTATCTCAGATAAGATTTTTGGAGCGTGAAACAGCTAAGCTTTCTTTAGAATGGATTGTTGTAGTCTCTGCCTTAAAAATTGCGATCAATCATATTTGTAGAGACAAATATGGTTCTGTTATGTTCTTTTAGGCATATCTTATAAGCTATATGTTACGAGTAATTAGATGCCGAGGAAACGGTGATAAAAGTTCAAGGCTTATAAATAAGCCAAATCGGTGACTTTTTCAAGGAATGTAGCAGTTTTTGAGATGATTATTTTTAAGAATTTTTAAGATCTGTGCTACTGTAAGGTTTTTTTTCTTTTTCAGATCTTTACCACTGACATTACTGAACTGATATGTATGATTGTTTTTGAATTAGTGAAATATTGAGCATAAAGTATTTGTGTGATATTTATATTTGCATATGTCATAAAATTTTTTGCACAAGAATTGATATACACTACATTTTTTTAATCTTAAGATCTGTATGTAATTTTAGGTGTTTAACAGTTTGGATTTATTCAAAGTTTTATTAGACTGCAAGATATGTCGTATGGATTGTCATAATTACATGCTTGTCATCGATTTGGAGTGATTATAATAAAACTTTTTCAAAGACTGTAGTACAGTCAGTATGTTGTTACTAAGATTACTTTAGTAAGGATTGTGAGGGCTACAAAAGTGATTCTATTGATCGAGTAATGGTATGCTCATTTTGTAATTTCTTTACTAATTCATCGACAGTTAAATTGCATGTTATGCAAGTTCTTGACTGAAATCGATTCTGACATATGGTGTTGTCATTTTTTTGGAACAAAAATTGAAAGTAAATTGGGGTCTGCGGAATTATTTGTCGAAAAAAAAAGTCTGAAATAGCAACTTGGGAATTTCTGTAGTTACTAAGTTAATTGGAAAGACCTGCGAGACTTGCTTCAGTTTCAATGAATTTCAGGGTCAGGAATTTTGTGTTTCGTAGTGGACTTTGCTTGACCAGTCAAGTTCTTTGTGATATTGCGCGGGAATATCTATTAATAGCATTTTAATTATATACAAAAAATTTAATTATATACATCAATATTATATGGAGGTAGATTAACCTTCTTTTCCACTTCATTGGTTCTGGCGCTGAACTGTGTTTCGGCTCTCTACCTGTACTTAACCTGTGCTCAGATTTTTTCTGCTAGTCTCCATTGCTTTAACTTCGTGGAATTCACGGTGATGATTGAATGAGATATTTTCAGGCATCGTTTGCATCTATTGATATATGCCTCGATCTCCATGATCGATTATGTCTCGATCTCACTCGATTGATATATCAATCAATATCACACGGAGGTTATTTTTCTTTTCTTCATTATTAATTCTGGCGCTGGGTCGTATTCTGGCATTCTTGCTGCACCCGCCTCACGCTCAGTTCTGATATATCAATCAATCAATCAGTATATATTCATTTATGAAAATGTTTCCGAAAATTTTTGCTTCTGAAGATATCAGCGCTTCCCAGCAAATAATGCAAGAGAATCTTGGGATAAAGAAGGTAGTAATTGCATCTGATCTTGTTTTCCATTCTAAAAGTAATTGCGTAATTAATTTGATTTAATTAAAATAATGAAGATGGATTGCTGCAATTTCAGTATTGACAGAATTGAACGATTTGCAAGCGTCAATGAGTGATGTGATGTGCATGACAATATCTTCTTGTATCAGTTTGGAGGGAAGAGTCACAAGTTACATTGATGAATGGTTTTAATCGTATCAGTTGCAAATCATTTGGGATTTCTAATCGTATCACTTGCGAATCATCTGAGATATTAGGGATTTTTATTGATTTAAATAAAATTTTTTGCATTTTGTTCAATAGTTTTGAGCATACCTACCACTTTTCGACAACTTTTGTCCGGCATTACTGTGAAACTTTTGTATTCTACTGCTTCTTTTCTTTAAGTCAAAGTAGTACAGTACCTTATGACAATACTATTCAAAAAAAACGAATACTTGCAATGCAGTACAACTATCAACATTGTGCAGTGAATATCAGAGCATTAAATCAAGCACAAAACAATGTTTTCGCTGCATATTTCTTGCTGACTTGAAAAAAAATTCAAATAATTGGCTCATATTTGTATATTTTGAATTTAATATTTCATGTATTTAGTCGTCACGTAATGCGTTTGAGTGCAAGTGTTCATTTGGGTACATTTACTTGCTTACGCAATAATTATATTCATTTCATTAATAATTATAATTATTGATGCATGCCGAAGTAATAATAAAAACATGAAGAGTAACCCGTTTGGTTGTAATACTTGTTTTGATGTTGTCTTCAGTTCAAAATTATCCTTCTAAGATGATTTATTTTTAATGAGACAAGCAAGCATCACTTAATTAGGTAATCGTGCGGGTTATAAAATTCTTGCTAGATTGCTTTGAAAACCTTTTAAATCAGAATTTAAGCACAGCACAAAATTAAAATCATCTTTTATTATGCTCAAGTTTAAAGGGGAACCTGGTAAGGTGAGAAATAAAAATATTCTCTCTGAATCGGAAATTTTTTTGCTGGAACTGCGAAATTTTCTCCAACTTATATTAATAGGTTCCGCAAGCATATGTTTGGAGGGAAGTTAATGACATTACTTGTTTATATGCAGTACTTATGGGTTTGAAATAATTCACCACAAGCATCAAATCAGATACTCATTACATATGAAATTATCAGGTCAACTAACATAATGTGATCTGCATGTTTCTTCTTCTGGGAACATTTACACCAGTTTGATTGTACATTTTATGTTTATTCAATATAACATACTCAAATTAAACCACACTTGTTTTTCTAGTAATGATAACTTGAGATAAATTAACGAGTCTATAAAACACGCAAAACTTGCTTTCAACTGCTATTTCATCTGAGATGAGAAGCAGAACTCTGACTTGAACAAAGAAAAAAATGTTAAGATTAAAAAATAAAGAGTCGAAATCAGACTAATTTAAGTCAGTTCAGTCAACTTGAGTAAGACTGATAAGTAAGCAAGCAAGAAAGCACGACTGCGGAAGGCATTATAGAATGAGAAGCATGGAGGATTAGCTGCAGTGTGTGCGCGAGGGCTTTGCTAAACAATGTAATTGTTGCCATCCTTACTTTGTTATCATGTTCTCGCTGCATAGTTTTGCTAATTCTTGCAAACTGATTACTGACTGCAAGTTTTATCTCTACTTTGCTTAATTCTGAATAGTGCTTACTGATTCGTACCGCGTTACTGAAAATTGTTCGGCGCTAAAGGCAGTCGAATGCCTCTTCTCACTATTTATGTTCCCATCTTTTTACAACTTGTCATCTGCTCAGCTTTAAATGTGAGTTTTTCAATTTTTATCACTCACAAAGGAAAAGTATCAGTAGTTTATATGCTACAAGCATTAGACTAATAAGCATTCGCAGATCGAGGATTAATATGTTATAATCTTAGTTTATTTGCTACCAATAACTTGATAACCAATGTGTTATAAGTATTTACTGCTAACAAATTACGTATTAATTATCCAACTTTGTAAAGCATTCTGTACAAAATTGGGTAAGAGATTTTTTTAGCTCCACTAAAATGATTAATTCTGTTAATTAATAGTCTAGTCATATTTAAGCATTTTACATCGGCGAAACTTTTCATTCTCTCGAGAGTTTTTAGGACTGAAGTTGATTTGAGTGATAAATTTGCATTCAACTTAATAACAATCAGCTGTGATCAGGCTTTATTTTGTATCAGCAATGGGAATGCTGTAATTACTTTGTAGATACAATATTCATTTATAATTTATACTGTGCTGCAGTTTGAAAGACAAGCATAATATGCTAAATTCATATTTGAGCATTTTATCTCTTCAATCTTTCAATTGTTTGAACAGCAAAAAATTGCTATGGTAAAAGTAATTTTGTTCAATTTTTTTCTTTGAAACAGCGAAGATCTTTAGATGGAAAACTTTCATTTAAAAATGTCAGAAGTAATTTGAATATTTGTCCGAAGATTACATTGAAGATTACTTATTTTCTCATCGTCAAAATTTCTGAATATAAAAGTAATTACTAACAAATATATTTATAGACTTCGATATTATAAATTGTTGACAAAATTAAAAATCTTCTTATTGTACTTAATCAGAAACTGACAGAAAACTTTCAGAATTCCAAAGCAACTTTTTCTGCGAATACCATCAATTCTTCAAGTGCTTTATTTTCTTCCATCTCAAGTAAACTTAAATTCTGGCCACTTTTATTCAGAAACGAAGTACTGAATATTCTTTTTGCATATCAGCACGGCACTCATATCTCAATAACTTAATCTATGTTCAAAACTTCTATTTTTTCTTCTCAGCAGACGTTTTCCGCAAGTTAACTTAAAAACTTATAAGTTAGCTTCTTACTTTAAACTGTTAATGCTGTTAAACAGCAAAATCATGAAAGTTTCTAGTATTGAAGTTTGTCTTTTCGTACTTCATCAACATCACATTATGAGCTCAGAGTTAATCTGATGCTTAAATAACAGTTTAATTCTTTTCGCAGATTTAATCCACCGATTCACAAAAAATAACGTATTATTGCAACCAGAAATCAGTAATAAGTTTATTCGGTATACAGTGGATAACAAACTTCAAAATGTACTACAAATTGTCAGCAGTGGACAACCGAAAATCGTGTGTTATACTGCTTCATTCCAATTTTATATATGAAGATATTACTATTTAACCTCAATCCATTTTGTACAAATTCCTTAAGGTCAAATCAGTGTGACACTATTATTAATTTTATCTGACAAAAAGTTTTACATCAGAACAAACTTGTTATGAGCACAGATGGAGATGGAACTATTTCTTCAGTACTACTTGATGCAAATTCAGAAAACCGAATCATAAAGACAACTGATAAAAATCCTGAGAGTAAGTTTCTTGAGAACATTTTCACATCATTGCTAATTTTATTTGTCAGCGCAATTTCCATCAGTCAATCAAGGCATTTTCATTATTACATGTTGTTATTATAAAGTCATAAATACTATTTTCATAATTATTTGAGTACTGTTGCGCACTAGTACTTGAATATAAATTTAATTTTGGTAATGGCAAGTTTTCAAGCAGTAAGTCCTTTATTTTGAATTCTGATGATTAAATACATGTACATTGTATGTAATTAATTACATTTATTGCAATTAGCAGTAAATTAGTAAATAAGCTAAATCAAAACTTCAACTTGCAGTGGTTTCGCTGAAAATAACTGGTGATTCTCACTCGAAAATAGCTAAAAGGTGATTGTAATTTGAATCGTTTTTAATCATAATAGCGTAAAACCAATAATGAATAGTATTAAGATTGTCTGAGAAATTTTGTATGATTGATAAGATAGCTTACTTAGGCATGATAAATTTGTTATTGAACTCGGATTATTCATTGACGATGCACTTTGGATTCATTTCCAAAAGCTTCACAAGACTGAGGCTGAATCTGCGCTTAAAGCTTATTCGCATGCTATTGTGAGCAATGTAAGATGTTTTATATCTTATCTTACTGTAATCCTTCGTCACTTACAGTATTAATAAAGCTGAATACAGAAATCACAAATATTCATCCAAGCTATCACAATTATTACGCTTAGTTCTGAAGCTCAATTCTTTTGTAATGCTTCCCTCTGAAATTTCTTCAGATTAATGCTTTATTTCGACACAGGTCGATACAGCTATCTATTCAATTTGTTGTTAATTACTACGAAGTTATGAAAGTACCGCCGGTAAGTTCGCTACAAATTTCACAAAATCATTAAGTTCTGATTTCTCAATAATATTAATACTTTGTACAACTTTAATACTTCTGGTATTAAATTTTTATTTTTATACAAAATTTATAGCAAAAATTTAACTCAAATTATGACATTTTAAGTATTAATACTAACGCTGCTTTGTGGCAAATAATGCAATATTATTACAGTTTGATGTAAATTCAGTGATTGCTATAATTAAATAAACCACTGGAAGATGGGTCTTGATTATCGAAAAATAAGTGTTACACTCATAGATTATCATTAAGACTTATTTCCTGAGGTGAATTTTATGAATCGAAATGTATCTGGTAAAGATATATATTTGAGGGAGTTTCGGGAACTAAGTCAACTGCTTCAGATGGGCGACGTATTTCAGACTAGTTTGAAGGATACACAAATGAGCACAAAATGTAATAACTTTCAGGTGGAATTGTCAAGAAATTTGCATGGCAGTGGCAGTGCGATTCGCTTATTAGATTTGTTTTGTGCTTATCAGAGCAAATTGAATCAGAACAATACAAAAATCAAGCGATGGGACCACGCTCTGCTTTTTACAGGGCTAGTCATTTGTTTGAGATCATTCTGTGTCAATTCTATTTTTGAGCAATTAAATTATTTAAAAATTTCAGAATTAAAAGTAAAAATAAAACAATTGAAGCAAAAATATTCAATGAAAGTATTTTGCAAACTTAAAAGAGATAATAATAAAATTATGAATTAATATCCACAGATATGACCTTTATGATGGCAAACTACGTACTGTGGCTGGTTTTGCACCAGTCAGAGGAATGTGCAGTGAGAAGAGAAGCTGTACAATCAGTGAAGGCTTAGATTTTAGTGCTGTATTTGTGACTGCTCATGAAATGGGACATAGGTTTACTTAAAAGCAAATATTTAATTTTTCAAATTTAGTTAATCACAAAGAATATTCATAAAGCAGCAGTAGCATTTAACTTTGGTTCAAAAACTTTCCAGCATAAAAAATTCTGTATAGAACAAACATTCCATTTCATATTTTACTTCAAAACCAAGAACATAATTTGCATTTATTCAAGTTTAGTAGCCTTTAGTTTAAGAGAAAAAAAAGACTGAATATGGATTTGGCTTTGTGCTTTTTTGCAAGCTAGAATAATGATTTGTTTGTTATGAAAAATAAATCCACCCTTATTTTGATATAACTTGTTATGAATTTGAAATTCAAAGTTGCAGACAGGAACTCAATTCTTTCTTAATCCACTTGGATTGAAAATTAAGAATTATAATTGATTGAGTTAAAAGTTGAGGTCAGATTAATCAGATTATATTTTTTTCTCAACCTTATTCGTTCAAAGTTTGCACATTTCAGTCTTGGCATGCACCATGACGAAGACATTGGTTGCAACAAGTCTTGTTGCATTATGTCAAGTTCAGTTGGCGCAGGAAGAACTTTGTGGTCTCCGTGTAGTGCACGCGAATTGAATAATTTTATTACTGTAAAAACTTTTATGAATTCCTGAATGTACTATATATCATTTTTGCAGCCATTTTCACAACAGCAGTTCCAGAAGTGATGAAGATGCTTAGCAGTCCATTTAGCTTTCAGTTAAATCATGAATCTATGCTAAATTAGTCACATTGCAGCAGCTAGATCAATCAGAAAACTGCCTAAGAACAATGCATACAACGAAGAATATCCCACAAGATGATGGCATTCGAGCAGGTCAAATGTATTCGTTGGATGAACAGTGCACGATATTCCATGGCACGTGTTGGAGACACGAGCTAAAACGTGGGCAACATATAAATGTAAAGTACAAATTTTGTCAATTAAAATTATTTGCTAAAAAAAGCCATGTCTCAAAAGCTGATATTTTTCCGGTTTATAACTGAGACTGACTTCCAAATAATATCCCCTTGATCTTCAGGATGTTTGTAAAATGGTTTGGTGTGGGAATGGTGAAGGCATCATTCGCAGTGCACATCCGGCCTTGGAATATTCTTACTGTGGTCATCAAATGGTAAAAACTTTTCTGAGTGAATAAATTTACTTATATTTAAAGTAAAAATAAAAATCTAACACTGACTTTGATGAAAACATGAAATTCACCAATAACAAATGGAATTGAGGGAAAAAAATCATGCAATGAAGAGTGAATCTCACACTTTCCGAGGTTTGTTTGATCAAAAAACTTTCGATTGTTATAAAAAATATTGAACATTTCACGTGTAGTAATTATACAAATAATTAATAAGTGAAAAATTATTTCAGTGGTGCATTGAGGGGCAGTGTATCCCAGCGGGACCTAACGAAATGATTCAGCAACAAGGAGGTTGGAGTGGTTGGATTGATGAAAAGAGCGATCACTGCCCATCAGAATGCGTTCGATGTCAGATTGATGGGCAGATCAGAGTTCGGCGATCAACTCGAATTTGTAATAATCCCTTGTCTGTATTCCCTTCTTTAATCTACAAATTTTATAACAATTCGTTTAATACATTATGCATCAGCCATATAAATTACGCTTCCTATTTTGCAATCCGTTAATTAGATATTTTAAATTAATTAATACGATTGTTTTAGATCGATGTTAATTGGCATTAAAAAATAGTGATCTGTAAAATGATAATTGATACAGATCAAACTCAGAAATCTTTCGATCCATGAGAATTAGTCAAACCATAAGTATACAAAACTTCAGGATGAACTAATTCCATAAATCTGTCAACTTTTGCAGCTTCATCGCAAAGTATAGGAGACTGAAAAATTACTTACGCAATTTTTTATTTTACTTTGCTGTTGAAAAGGAAAAGATCAAATGATAGCTAATTTTACATCACGATTTTCGGATTTATATTTCTTCAAACGAATCGCAATTATCGGAATGGATTTCAGCCCAAATAATGGTGGTGCGTTCTGTCACGGCCATGACGCCCGTGGAATTCGTTGTCAAAAAGAAGTATTTTTATTACTTTTTGTGCATACTCATAATTGAATAATGTTGCGCAGAAACTTAATGCTTTATGGCGTCTAATTTCTTCATGAAACCATTCTTGTCAGTACCAATTTGCATACAGACTTATTTTTGTCTAAATCATCAAAATATATTAGCACTACAATATCATTTAGATGTCTTTAAATACTATTATAACAATGAAATTGAAATTTCAAATATGAATTGATTTAACGAAAACGTTTTTCGATATTAATTTTAGGACAATTTTGCTATTTTTGCAGTTTTTAGCAGTAAATTATTCTGAATAAACTAGCAGATATGTAATGGATCTTCGGTAGAGCAGTTTGCAACAGAATACTGTGCAAAACAACGTGATGCTGGTAGCCCGTCTGCGGTGAACTTAACTGGGCAAGGGATGCAATACAGTGGTGATCCTTGTAAAATTTGGTAATGTCCAAAACTTTTGTTTTAAAAATACTAAAAGAAATTACTTGTAGCAAGTGTAGCAATCAAAAAGACATGGAAAAGTTGTTTCTAGCCAAAAAAAATTGCAATGCGTGAAAATTTTCTGCTTCAACCAGAAATCGGTTCGGTAATGAGATGAACACGTAAAACAGTATGCCTTTGAAAAGCATAGTTTTTAGGTGTTTGCTACTCGGACAGCATATTCGAACTTTTGCCATCTTTCCTGATGGAACGCCTTGTGGCATAAAACGATACTGCGTGAAAGGTCGATGCGTGGTTAGTCGTTTTTTTCACATTCATATTTTCTCAAAATCACGGGAAAAATTGCTGAAAGTTCACTAATTCAATGTCAATATTGAAAAATTGCTTTTTTTTTTTTGACTGACAAAAGCCACGCTGAATAATTTGAAGAATAAAACTAATCCCAAAGCAAACAGAATTTGAACTGTGGTGAACGAGCACTCGTTGGATCACTTGCACATTGTCCGTACAATTCAGGCATACAAAAACAAACAAAGAACTCTCGAAATCACGCAAAAATTAGTTTCAATAGCATCAAGAAAAATCCATATCAGTGTTCGTTTAATTTTGAGTTTTTTGATCATTTCTGGATGCGAAATCATTTGCGATTAGGATCAATCGACTGAATCTTTATTAGCTCAAATGCAATTTATAAACAACATTACGACACTGCTTATAGTTTGCGAATATAGAAAGTTTTGACGGAAGACAACTGAAAATGTTCTTTTAGCTAAAGTTCATTACTAATTTAACTTGAAGTGTACACTGAATGGACTACTTGGAGTGAGTGCACCGCTGCATTATGTGAGCAGCAAGGATTCCGTCTTAGAAAGCGCATGTGCGTCGACAAGGAAGCTTGCAGAGTATCCCAAAGACAACGAAGAATTTGCTATGGCCAGTGTACAGGTAACATCTTGACTGCTTTCTTGATAAGAATTACCAAGAATTATTTTCTTCGAATTTCCTTTTTTTTCATTATTTCTTCAGAATTATTTCTGGCTTTATCTGTATTAGTAAGTACGACAAATTAAAGCTCTAAATCATTACTTCAGCAGAAACAAACATTTTTCGCTCAAATATATAACTGTGGGATGTATGTTTAGGCTTTTACATTTTATGATTTGTAAACTACAGAAAATGATTTTCAATGGACAGAATGGTCATCGTGTTCTGCTTCTTGCGGTTTTGGAATAGAACATCGAATTAGAAGTTGTCAGAATTGTACTAAGCAACATAGCTTCATCAATAGACGACCATGCTTTTTGAAGGTTAATTCGTTGCACATATAATCAGTATACACGCTGCTCATAGATTTTTTTCTACCATATATATAATTGTCTAAAACCTTCGTATAATTTGCATGAAACATTTTCAGCCAAACTTGTTTTCTAATCCTGCTTCTGTTGATAGATTTTTGGAAAATATAGTTCTTGAAGTCTAGTACTGTTTTCAGGGATGCGAAAGTAATCCTCATAGGGTGCTTGGAAATCATGCAATTGTAAATTGAAGTATAAAATACACTAGCGAAAATATCCAAGTTTAAAATGTAAAGGTATCTTTTCTGATGTAAGCTTAATAGCATATCAAAATAAAGTTCAGAAATTCAGAAGTACGATGAATACTGCTCACTTTGAAACTTTTACAATAATATAATGTATATATTTAAATATGATATAATAAATGCTGCTTGCATTGCAGAGAAATTAGCAAAATGTGATTCATAAATTGCGACATGTCACTATTAAATAGATGTTGCATTTGACTGCGTATATCAAATCAGTCATCATCCAACAGTAGGTCACAAAGGTCACTACTTACCTGGATTTCATATATTAAATTGTAACCAGTCTAGCATTTTTATTGCTTTATTTTGGATTTAATTTCAAAGGAAATTTCTGGCCTTTACTTCTGTCTCACTCTGCCCAATTTTTAATAGCCAGGATTTTAATATTTCATTTATTGTTGCTTCAACAATCTCTGTCCACAGATATTTGCAATATATAGAATGTCAGCTTTTTATTTTTTTCATACATTCATCAATTAAATCAAGAATTTACGCTCAAATTTGATTGTGTTTAAAATACAGTGAGTGAAATCTCGAATCTCTCGAAACTTATAAGTCTCAAACGACTAGAACAGTATACCTGTCCTAGTCGTTCGAGAATGAGAAATCGATGTATATGCTACCGAAATGTAACTGCTGATACCATAATGAACGCCCAAAACTTGTCTAATCACTTATTCAAATTTATAAATTATGAATGCAAACCATTAAAAAATTTACGCAACTTCATCTTCTCGAACTGAAAACTCTTTGAACAAAGTTGAGATCGACCGCGTTCCATGATGCTTCGAATGATTTCTGATACAATCAATTTGTAGCAGTACAAACAAAAAGTGAAATTACTGTAGAGAGATTTATGTAAATTTGTAATACAATGACAAGGAACCTTAATTATTGAGAGGATGTAAAATTCGAGAACTTAAACAGGTTGAACTGAAAGTGACTATTTGAGATACTTTAAGCGTATTTGAGATCACAAGAAATTTACTTGGTAGAATATTCGCGGAAATCGATTTTTCCTGATGCTTCTATAGTCGACGGGAATGGCATTTTTAAATATATTTATATACTAGTCTTTTCTCATTTTTTCATTACTGTTGAAGGTAGTTATGATAACAAAAGAACCATGCTGAAAAGAATTCGGCACACATTTCAAACACTCCAACCTTCGAAATCAGGATAGTAGTAAGTTGAACTTCACGATACCACAATGCATCTGACACGTGAGCGAAATTGACAATGCTAATTAAAAAATTCTCAACCACCAATATTTCATTTGCATATAATTTTACATAAGAAACTATTTTTTCAATAAATATGATACAAAAATGAGAAAATAATGCACCCATATGAATACGGACGGCTACAGGTCCCTTTATGCTGGATGTTTGATATGAAACGATGAGACGAGGCTACGTGGGATTCTCATCAATAACGCAAAAAAGAAAACTGACCTTTTAATTGCTAGACATGACATATATTTCATCAATAAGGAATAAAAATAAATGCATGAGGACAAACAATGAGAACGATTCGAAAGAGAACTACATAAAAAAGAGACTAATGAAGAAAAATACTACCAACGTATGTGAAATACCCTGAGTGCGAATAAAATAGTTGTAATAGACAAATTACACAGAAGCACAAGCTTTAACTAGCCACTCGTATTCTTTGTTCTTTTTTGTGTACAAGAGATAAGGACCAACTTTCTTTAAACACATAGCATGATACTGGTTCAACCACTCAATCTGAAAAGCATTCAAATTTTGTGAAAAAGCTTGCAATTGTTTCAAATTTAGTCCACAAAAAATTGCTTTGCTGCTTGAAAAAATTTGCGTTCCTCAACAACTTCCAAAACGATAATGATCACTACAAAAAACAAAAACGATAACTGGAAAACATTTCGAATCTTATTATTAGATACAACATCGCATTTTTTATCTAACGACTGCAGAAGCTACTTATAGTAGTCAAATATACAAAGCTCAACATAATAATAGTTTAAATAGAATAAACAGCTTTTTTAACTTTAATTTTAAACTGCATAAGCTATGCATAACTTATTACATTACGATCTGAAAACTTCTATTTGTGTCATCCAATCATAACTGTACAGGAAATCACTTGATAGAACCATACCTGACTCGAAATTAAACAGACATTCACCCAACGTGGTAAAAAGTTTTATCAAAAAAGAGTTTCACATCACAAACTAAAGAAATGAATGGAAGAATCGACACAACAAAACCTATTTTCACAACTGGTGTTCAGAAAGCCATACACTTACTTCTTCAGATGACAGCAAAGAAATATCCACCAATGATTTTTGTATAGGTACCAAAGTTAATGGTGAAAATGCCAAAAAGTTTTTTCCATTAGAACACGTTTTGTTTGCAGAGACGACCTGAACAACATTGAAAGGGAAAAGATGAGACAATTTTTCATTGAATATTTTTATTCACTCAATTTTTCATGTATGGAAAGGACATTTAGACATTTTTTGGTGTCTGTAAACCACTGTAATCTAGAATGATAGCTCTAAAGTAATTCACGTATTGCCAAATGTCAGCAAAACCTTTTATAAGGAAAAAAATAAAAACAGAAAGCTGATTTAAAAATATTCGTCTCGCGAGCCTGTTACTGGTAAACAACAAATTTCATTCTTTACCAGAGCTGATCGAGAAATCTGAAAGACGTTAAAATTTTGAAACCAACCTCATAGCAATTCTCGATTCTTATACCCCATTTATCTTCGACATAAAACCCAGGTTCAATCGTTATCACATTGCCTTTGTGAATTCCACCTTCCTTCTCATACTTTCGAAATGTAATACCAAATAAAAAATAGACAAAAATTTATCATGAATAATAAAAAATAAGCATATAAGTTTTGCTATCGAAAAAATCTGATTTATAAAATTACATTCTTAGATAATGAAATTTTCACACTATTCAAAAATAAATCATTTTTACAATGTATTTCGTTCAAAAATTGGTCAAAGTCCTGTATAAGTTTCCAAAAAAAAATTATTTTTACCTGGTCCTTCATGTACATTTAAAAAATGTCCGACACCATGCCCTACGCCATGGGCAAAATCTAATCCATCTCTCCAAAGATACTGTCGTGATATTGCATCCATTCGTATTCCTCAAAAATTTCAAATTTATGCTTTCAAAAATCTGAGCAATTTCTTAAATAATGCATTTAAATTTACTTTTCAATAAATCTTGATAATTAGAAAATTAAAAATAAAACTAAAAAGAACTTATGTGCCTTATCAAAAAGTGAACATAGAAGTACATAAATTTTACCATTTACTCCATCCGGAAAAATGAGCATAGCATTAGCAATATGTCCTTTAAGAACCAGAGTAAACATTCTTTTAAATTCCAAGTCATTATTATCAGAAAACGCAATTGTTCGCGTTACATCAGTTGTACCATCACTGCAACTTTCAGAATCAGTTTTTGGCAAAATACCCAGCAATTACACTGCAAGTTTAAAATTACTGAAATTACCAATAATGTCCACCAGAATCAAGCAAGAATATGCTTGATTTCGTTAACAATTTCCGACTTGTTTCTGAAGTTCCCCGATAATGTGGTAAGGCGGCATGCTCATTTACTGCGGCTATTGTTTCGAAGCTTAAATCAATAAAACCAGGCTGTAAGCTCCGAAATTCATCCATTTTTTCACTCGCTTCACGCTGGAAAATAATCTCTTCGAACTGATATTTTGAATCATTTTTTCACTATCAACAATAGTGGTTAAAATGAAAATATATATAAAATTCACCTCGGTTACTTCATTTCCACAAGCTATCTCTTCTTCCAACCAAACAAAATATTCTATTATTGCAGCACTATCTCGAAGCTAAAAATCATAGAAATCAAAGTAAGATGAGAATTTTCAAATACCAGAAGTGCAACTGTACCATGCATTCTAGAATATATTTAGTTTCACTGTCTAAAAAATACAACATACACTTGAATTACGCATCCCATGTAATTCTGCTTCATTTTTTATAGCCTTCATCGTTTGAATAGGTGAAACTAATGATATACCATCCCTTAATTCTATTAGAGATCCCAATTCAAAGTTCGTCAAATCTGGAATACAAACCTGTAATAAAATCATTAAATTCACATAATTATTATGAAAAACTCCAATTACTGATTCGTTATGAAAGAATTACATGTTTAGAAGTAGAAAATCCAGACTCCATACTATCAGTTATTTGATTAGTCATAATAAACATTGATATCTGATGAACAGCAAAATCTAATCAAGCTTACTTTGTACAGTCCTTTATGGATATATAACCAATTTTCAATCCAGCTTGCTGCGCTGCTATAATCATGAATTTCAATGCCTTTTAAATGATTTCTTATTTCATCGTTTAATTTGCGCTCATCAATAAATAAATGTACTTCATTCGGAACCATGAAGATTACTGCGAAAACTACAGGATTATACGGTATATCTGAGCCACGGATGTTCAATAGCCCTAAAATTTGGTAATCATTTTTTACAAATGAAAATTATGACAAGTAACAACAATCAAAAGCTTAAATTCAAGATCACTTCATTTGACTTCATATCACTATTTGTAAAGTATAATTGCAAACTAACAGGCGATATCATCCAACGCAGTAAAAATTGCGCTGTTACAGCCCCGCAACTGTAACTCTCGTCTTGTTCTATTAATTTTTTCCCTCATTTCCAATCCGCATTCTTCAGTATTTAATACGAGAATCTGAAAACTTTCACACGAACTGCAGAGAATAAATATTTCCATTTCAACATTGTACTTATTACTGTTTTCACCATTTAAATTCTGTATGCAATACATCTTTAAAAATAATTTTATCTTTTTTAAATGCTAAAATATTCAAACCTTTCCAAAATGTTCTGGAGGTCTGTCGTGCCATATATAATCAACCAAATTGCCTTTCAAAGGCACTACAGTTATTCCAACCTTATTTAAAGTGGACATTATTCGCAAAGCTTCATCTAAAGTTTTGATGAAAGAAGAGCAAAATCAAATTGCGGATAAAGTGAGATAGTATAATCTCAGTCCAAATTTTTAAGAAATAAAAGTATGCTTAGAAGATCAACTTTGTTACATATTCAAGTAATAAAAAAAGTAATCAGAATTTACAGCATACCATGCCTGTACAACTGAGGGTCGAAAACTGCTCTACTACCTCTTCTTAAATTCTGAATCATCCAATCAGTGACTGAAATGGCCGTCGGAACACCTTCTTTCATCAGTTGCCATCCAGGTTCTAATTCTTTGCCAGCCTAAATTGAAGATAAGTTAAAATAAAAGTCTATAACGTGCGCTAATCTCCACTATTTTTAGATTAAACTTGGATATTTTTTTATAACCTGTATAAAATATCGACCATCAGTCCAAAGCAGTGCTTCCTGATCAGTTATAAGCGCGAACGCATTGGAACCAGAAAATCCACTAAGAAAACGAACGCGCGAGTCACGTTTGCAAATATACTCACTCTAAAACTGACTGAAATTTGACAGTTACTACAACAATAAAGCATTAAACTCACGAAGAACAACACTCTACAATGAAAGATTGGAAAAAGTACCGGGTAAGAGGATGGGATACTCTTGATAAGTCTAGTTTTACCTTGAAACAATGCTAAACGTAAATACGCGCAAACCAAAGAACTCAGAGAAAAAATTTCCAGTCAGCGATTATTTCTAAAGCATTTTCAAAGAAAATGATAAAAGCCCTTAGATACAATTAAAGCTGACACGAGTACTGAAGTACTTAATTAGAAATTGCAAAAATTGAGTTTCTAATTAAATTCGCAAATACGAAAATGCGACAAATATGAACCTGATGAGCATCGGTGTTTGGCAGCAGATAAGCATTAACGGGTCCACCAATTTGCTTAACAATATCTTCGCTCCTGAACAACGTTCGCAATTCTTTCAACTTGTCATCAGTTTTACTGCTTCTAGTAGTCATATTTCGCAGTATCTTGAACAAACTTCTAGAAAGCTCTCTTAGATTAGTGTTGATGATGCACGACAAACATTAGAATATCTTTGCAGTTCTATTAAACCGAGATCAAAAAACAAAGATGGTGAAAGGGATAAAGAGTACAAGCAACAAAAATAACAGTGTTACTTTAGATAAGAAAAAAACTTGAGTTGGCAAATATCCTTGCGAAATGAAATCAAAAAAGTGAATCAGCAAAGCATGTCTGAAACGAAAAAATGAGTTAACAATGAAAATGTGGCAGTGAAAATTTAAATGTTGGAAGAAATAACATTGAATGAAGACTTCGGCGTTCGAACTTTTGAAAGCAAGTGCATCAGATTGACAACGTCCGTACACCGTGAGAGTAAAACACCACACACTGACTGATTTTAATGTATGTAATTAAGTGTTCGTAAGAATTATCAAATTCAGCACGTTTTTTGAGTTCTGTAACAGGTGCAGTACAGTTCATGAATTGACTTATTCATTTCCAAAACGAGTTCTTTCAGCTTAGCTCAGATCAGAAATTGAACTAACACACTTATTTCTAAAAAAAGAATGCTACTTTCAAACTCCCAAAGTTCATGTGCAAGTCTGGTTCGTATTCAAAGTAAATGTGAAGAAAAAGCAAAAGTCATAACTTGAAAATGCATATTTCAACAACTATCAGGAGATTCTAGCACAAATATCCATGCATATGAACTATCATCAACTACACACGAATACATGCATAGGAAAAGTATACTAAAAAGAGAAAGATGTAACAGACGGTCGGGATGGGAAGTACTTGGAAACAAAGTAAGTAATAATGAATATGACTAAAATCAACGATAAGAAACATTTGCAAGGCGAAAAGTTGATCACGAATATGACTGCACGTTAACGATAAGAAATGATGAGATAGAATCACTTTCTAAATTACATTAATGGTCAATGTCCCTCCATCCGGTCTACTCATCGGATGGAGGGAAATTGACCATGAATATTTATACATATCTATGCACTCATATAACGCAGAAATTATACAGATAATGAGTTGAGTAAATGTGCAAGTAAAAATTACACAAATTTTAAAAGAATCCAGCCATTCCAAGAGCAGATTTGGTGCAATATATGCATACAAAAAAATGCACTTTCGATCAGCACACAAGGAAGCTATGCACACGCACCTTCTGCACTTAGTCAACTGTGTGCAAGGTGCAAAAATTTTTACTTACTTAAAAGGATTTGTAAAAGAAACATGACGTCAAATCTCAGAAGACAATGTAATAATTATTTCGGATGGTGCAATCTTATCAAATTCAACATCCCCAGAAGCATACTTACATTAAATGATAATTCTACATCATTCTTGAAAATCATACCTTAATTCCCTTGCCAAAATTCAAGGCCAATTAGATGCTATCAATAATTTAGAAGGTATTGTCATGTTTCCAACTAACAGAAGTACTCTTTAATACTTCCACGCACTGATCTAGTCAAATAGTTACGTAATATGATGCCATCCTTCCTATGCAATATGCATAGCTAACACGTTTTACTTGTATAATGCAGTTTTAAAGTAGACAGAAACCAGAACCATCATTGTAACCTAACGATTGTTTAACAAATCAAACTTGGTCGTAATGAATATTTAAGTTCATTCAGTCTTCTTGATATGCCCTTTGGAACTTGAGTTCATCTGAAGTGACAAGAACTGTTTGTCATTATGTATAGTTCAGAGGGGGAATTGAGAGCAAGTTCTAAATGTCATTTTTATTTAAGTCTCAAAATCGGACAATATAAATTCTGATTCTGAGAAAGCTGACATATTTGCTGTATTCGTCTGAGATGTATCTTTTTCACTACTGCACACTTATATTTAACAAATCTGTTCTTTCTATCTAAACAACAGAAAGCTCAATGTACAAACATTCAGCTTAATGTACAGCATTTATGTTTTGACTTTTTACATTTTTTGGAGACTTTTATTCAGCGTGAAATATTTTGCATTCTCTTTACGTGTATATTGATAGTTCCACGTATATTTCATTTGTTTTCATTTATGACGGAAAACATTCACCATAGTTCTGAACTGATTCTGGACGATAAACAGGAAAATGAACCATCTGCTCTTCCACAATCTACAGGCTTTCAGGTATAAATCATTTTTGATTTTTTCATATATTTTTAAGCTTCTGAAACCATCAACTTCTGGTTTTTAGTGTCATATAATCGAAATACCATTCAAAGATGAAAGTGGAATCTAAAATCATCAATTAAGTATCTGCAGTGAACAAGATCACGAGCTATTATAATTTAGTTATCTCTAAAATTATATTAATCACTCTCATGTGTTCTAATTATCTTGAGACTGAAGCAGTCTTCTATATTTTAAATGTGACTTTTTGATGATAGTTCAAAAACTTTTTATAGCCGGAAATTACGCCTGAACTTACCTACCACAATCTGCAATCAGCTAGCTTCAGTGAAGAAGAAAAAAAAGCCTCCATTAGTTTCTCTCCGTCACTGGTTTCCAAAGTATTATTTTTGATTTTTCGTCATTCTATTATTGTTTTAGAATATTCTTAAGCTGCTTAATTTTCATTTACTTTTAAATTAACTTTTCTTTAATAACAAATCAAAATTTTTATAGGTCATGCTTATGGCTCAAGATATTTACCGTGATCGTGAACCAACTGATACTGCCGAACAAGAACAAGGAACATCTACTTCTTGTCATGCGTCATTAGATACTAATATATCTATAGCTCATGATAAAAGTTCTGCGGACGAATCATTTGCTAAAAGTATTATATCTCTGATCTCTTGAAAAAAGTTTTTTTTTAAAAATATCTCTGACTCACTTTTAGGCCAATCACTCTTCTGGATATGATAAACAGTATTAGTAATAAAGTTAAGGTAAAGAGTGAGTTTTTTGAGGTGAGGTGTGCACAGTCTCAATGTGTTTCTAATATGAGCTCTAGTTTTAATTCATTCTCTCATGCTTTTTATATTTTAGCAGTTGATATTGGGCCGAGAAAACAGCGAAAAAGTCGAAGAACGGAGAAAGGAGTAGCAGATAATGAGGTTCAGTATCTTTGCATATAAATTTATTTAACTGTGAATTTGGTGTTAACTTTTAAAAACTTTCTGGTATTAATCATTATAATAATAAAAAATTGTCATTAACATACAGTGTGCTTTCAGTTTCTGGGCAGCAAATTTAATTTCGGTGATCAGGATCAGCAACCAAATTACAACTTTGTCTTACCGTCTTTAAAAGAAGTGATTATAGTTCATCATTAATTTTTATATAAATTTATTAAGGCAAAATTTCGTTATATAACTATTTGTGAGTATTCTTCTACAATTTAATTCATTAGCCATCAATATTTTTGTGTATGAATTTTCTTTTCTATTAGGCTGCAGGCAAAGAATGGACTACAGAAGAATTGAAAGCGCTCCATGACTGGATTAATTCGTAAGCATCCTCTACACTTTTGCATTATTTTAATCTCAGGTTATCTTTATAATTCTTCTAGCATTTGAAATTCATCAAAATTCGTGATTCATGCATTTAGTCATGGTGTAAATGATAACTGCCTGTTCCATGCAATGAGAAATATACCAGGACGATCAGTACTAGATATTCGCAATAAAATTGTGGAAATTCGTGAACTTGTTCGATTGAGACAGGAGATAAAAATCGAAGCCCAAAAAGCAGAATGGTTGAAAGAAGTCATAAAACCTTCTAAAACTAGTGAGGTGAAATTTTTGTTATTCTGTGCAAATTATATATATTACTTTTATAAAATTGATTTGTTTGGACTTATTGTTTGCTTTATCATTTCACTGGGGTACAGAGCTACATTTTTTGGAAAAGTTGTAAAAAACTTTTTCTTCAAAAATAAAAAGTGCTCAAAACCTCTGTTCTTCAAGAGTAATCAACACCTTTGTTTCATCAAAGCACTATTGTAGAAAGATAAAATATAATATTAAATCAAACCGAGCACAAATACAAAAATTAGAACCTGAAGAACGTAGTTTTTACTATATTTTCAAGATTATAAGCTTTCTTTAGTCGTTTCATACATTCATTACTAGTTTCGTATATAGTTTTCGTGACCGAAGTTGTCAAGTAGGGCAGCATCGATTTATTTGTAGCTTCCCAAAAATATTTTTGAAATATTTTCTTTCGGTTTTTTTGACTGAAAATAGTCACTGCCCTTTACTATCTGATCGTATAACATTGTGCATTAGATCCGAAATATAAAAATGTTTATCAAGGTGAATATATACCAACTAGAAATTAACGCTCAAGTTCGCTCAATTAACGCTCTTTATGATATAGTACTTGTTACCTAAGTTTAATAGCAATGTTAGATACAAGATTGGTCGACAGCTGTCAAAGTTGTTCAAAATCGGAAACGTCGAATCATCGATCATACTGACTCAGCTTTAATGGTAAGTATTTGTAATCTCAAAATTCAAAAACGTAAATCTTGAAATTTTTATTTATTTCTCAATTTCTTCACTGCACTGCAATTAAAAATGGAAAGTATGCGCATGATCAAAACAGTGAAATGCTGAGGTTTGGTTTACTGCATTGCAGTAGTTCATATTTCTCCTTATTGATCTGGTCTCTCTCGAGTACTACTTGTTACTACGGTACTTTTCTCAGTTCATCACTGGTTTTCTGCTTCAGCTGCATCATTCACAAAATGAAAAGTTTCTCAAAGTTTGTTTTTTACATCATTAATAGCAATAGACTTTTTGCTTTCAGCATTATTTAAGCTATGAAGTCAAATGTCGACCAGCATCCGTAGATACCAGAAAATACTTGCCAGTAACTGATTCACCTTATGCTCGAGGAGCTAATAGAGGGCAAGTTGTTGATTGTGCCGATTATTATCGTTTCTTGTACAGTCGGTTGTCAGGAGGAACATCATCTTACCAGAAACCTTTGGGTTATTTATTCTTACTTTAATTTTTTAAATATTCAATAATGGTGAATAATTTGGGTTGGTTTTATTGCCAGTTACTAATAATACATATGCGAAACTATGAAAATTTTTCACAAATAATTGTCCTATTTTTAGCTCCATTTATTTGAAAAAGTTTTATGTCTGTTGAACTACTTATGTGGTTTTTTTGATATTACTGGTGTAAAATTCTTATATGCTTCTAAGCATGTTCATAAAGATTATGTAGAATGCTATCTCAGAAATTTCAGTATAATTTTTGGTTTCGTTATAGATGCAGCTATAATTTTGAATATTTTGAATGAAATTCAACAAGAGGTTGATGACCCAAAACATGAAGAAAAGCGGCGAATATTAGCTGGTACATTTCGTGATATACAAAGTGGTGATTTATCTCACTACGATTTCAAAGTCACTGCTAATAATCAGGACATGCTCTCTGCTCAGCTGAACCCGTTATCTCTAATGCATGATATGTTAAAATTAAATGATTAATTATGTTGCGAGGACTTTAATTCTGTTAAGGATTTTATTCATGTATATCCTTTCTCTTCGTAAATTGATGTGCAATAAAACTATCAATTGTAACTCAAAGAGCTACATCTTAAAGGTACTATCTCCGCATTTATTCTGTCACTTGACAGCACTTAATTAGTGGATGAATTCCTTTTGGTCAGAAATTTTTTTCTTTTATGTTGAACATGACTGGCATACGAAGTGAAAACAACGGCTTCCAAATCCGCAACTTTTTAGAGCAAAAGATTTTTCAGCAAAGTACTGTACTTTAAAAGTCATCATCCCTGCATGTATATTCTTCCATTTCATAGGGCATTACGTAACCAACCACATCATACTTCTGGATCCTACATTCGAATATATCCTGTGGTCTTACCTTCAAAGAACATTTTTATTTAAGAGCCGAACCTGATTTCTGAATTATTTCCATACTTCTTAGGTCATTTGAGGGAACGAATCTATTTCCAGGAATGGATTACAGCGTAATTAAAAAGATCTGAGAGATCATCATATAGTGATTCGCTGGAAATTGGGTATAATCAATAGACAAGATTTTATGGTAACTGATATGTGGAAAAAAGTAGACAATATACTGATGCCAGCAGTGAAAAAGTCGAAACTCACATCGCGAGGACAGATATTACTAATCGTGAGATCTTCACTTTTATCGATGGACTTCAGTGTCCTGTACTCATTTCGTTGCTTAGTCACAGCCTTATTTTTCTCTATTTCATCTGCTCGTTTGAAAAATCTTACTCTTGGTAGTATGAACTAAAAGACAGGCATAAGTATAGAATCAAACATACTTTTCTCAGATATGAAGATCAGATAACCAACTCATTTATTGAGTACCGCAAATGTACTAAATTTATTGGTCCAGCTTGATTTAGGCTGACGAAATGTCGTGATAATCGTTATCAAGAAACGTTCTCCAGTCACCTTCAACGAATTATCTGATGGCATTTCTTGATTGTGATTGCAATCGGGTAGATCTTCATTGTCTTCTATACTTTCCTAAACTTGTTATTATAATTCCCATGTTCTTCTTTCATTTAAATCAAAGATTATTTCAATAAATGGAACGAAACTCTGAACATTGAAGATCTGTAGATTTCCATTTAGTTGCTGACCACTTTTTTGAGTCAGTTCTGGAGAATTTTACAAGTTTGAGTCTTAAACTGATTAAAAAATGGTTACTTGAGATGACTGCGTTTTTTTAATACTTTTTGACGTAGGCTTTTCACGTTCATACCGCTGAAGAACATATGATGCGTATGCATAGCATAAGGTGTTACTTAATGAAAATTAAAAATTGATGACAATAACTATTTTTTTCATTATTATTACTACTTCACTCTTCATACTGCTTTATATCAAAATAAATTTGTGCAGTTATTATTAATAATTGTTGTTTTTGCTTACTGTAAGAATGACTGAAATATACTAACAGACAAGTAACGCAGCTTAATTTTAATGCTTTCATTTTTAGGAGGTTTTGTGCGAGATGGCGTTGCGATATTCGCTGGCTGTTTATTCTGTACTTGTTGTTGTATGATTTCAACCCTTTTGTCTTCTAGACAAGGTGATTCTGTCTACAAGTAAGAATAATCTTTTTATTATTGATCAACTTTGTGTGCAACTTCGATCATCAATAAATTGCTCTAAGCGAAATGGACCACAATTCAGAAGTGTCTTGAGTTTGAGCTTCTTTACGGAACACTTTCAAAGGTTTAAATTATTCATTTCAAGTACAATTTTTAATTAAGAGACTTCAAGTTTATTTGAAAACTAAAATGTATTAAAATCATACTTTTTTAATAGATTTCATAGTTTTCCTCTTGCACGTGCAAAGTGACGAACACAAAACGCAAGTCGTAACCATCATTACTGATAATGCAATTAGCATGCCTTGTGCGCTGAAATAAATATCACACTGACTCAACACTGATAATTGAAGCTTACTTAATCTTATTCATTTATCACTTTGAATTAGTTCAAATGGTTTGAAAATAAATATTTATAATTTGCTGACTGCTGTAAATCACCACAGTTGTAAATCGTTACTTAACTTTAATTTAATAATTCTGCTCTGAAATTGTGCAGCATTGTAGGGAATCTGAATATTGGAAAAAAATTATACGCTTAATCGGTAGAGCAAAAATGCGTAAAGTTGATTGAAGATCTGACTAATAATCAACTATGAGTGAGTATTCAAGTGTTGACGAATGCTTATTCTTGTAAGTATGCTCTAGCGAAATTCTATTTTCTACACTTTTCTCCAATATGATTAGTTATATATATCTTTTAACACTGCCATATCTCTGGACAGAGAAATTAAGATGGAATCGAGATCAGACATTCATCAGAGAAGTTCAGAATGAGATGCAGTTCTCGAACATTTTCAAGTAACAAATCCGAAAAATGCTCACCGAACATTTCAACAGCAATAATAACAAAATAAATGACGAACACTCAAAAGACGCATTTAAATATTAATGCTGAGGTAGAGATAAAGTATAAAAATTGGATAAATCTAAGTATTATTACTGTTTTATACTTCTTGCATGGTTGGTTACTTTTAGTGGCACCCATTTGTGGAAAGATAGGTCTGATAAAAGGTTAGAAAATATGCAAATAAGCAAGATTCAATAGACTCTTACTTTATTTGGGCAAAATGACTGCTCAGTATCTCAAGTGTTAGTGCCTCATTGATGGTAGTTCTGGAATTTACTTCTCTTCTCAGTGGCTTCAATAGTGTATTGGAAATGTCAAGTAATAAATTGACGAACGATGAAGAAGCTAGAATTGCTGTAAAATCGGAGTATATTCAAGACGTAAAAGATGTAAGATTTGCAAAATTATTTAAGTACTTGTAAAGTGGACTTTTGAATTCAGTACAGTTTGAATGAATTTTTGAGTATCAAATTCGATATAAGCAATTTGGATCAAGGAAAGCGCATTTCAAGCATTGCTTGGTGCAAACGAAGAAAGTTTAGCTTGCATTTTGTAATATTTCAAATTTTGAGCAAAAGACGATGAGAAGTGATGGGTCATCAAGAAGTAAATGTACAAGCAAATCTCGCTCGAGTCGTTCGCATATCTGGAAAAGTACTAGCAGCGGCTTTTTTAACGTTGGGTCAAGAAGCAAAAAAGCAACAAGTCTACCAAAAACCAGAAGAGTAAGAACTTCGCATAAGATAACTAGATAAAGATTTGTAAGTAAACAAGGTTTGTAGGTATTTAAATGCTAAGGTCAGGTGGCTTCGTTGGTGTCTTAAAAGCTTGTAAAATTGGTACGAATGAGCTTTACGCAACCAAAACAAATAACTGACCAAATAAGAACCTTGAAGTAACTGCATTTAAATATTTGAATTGAGGCGGGAATGAAGAAGATAAAGAAAGGAAAGAAAACATATAGAAACAAAATGCACACGAAGACCTCGAGAAAGGGCAGACCAATACTGATAAAAGGCACTGAGGTCGAGTGTTACAATGATAAGTAAGTTTTTGCATGAATTTTTAGACTTCTTTCAAATTGAAATCTATTCAGCCTTTAGGTTAACACTCGACCTCAGTGCCTTTTGAACTTTTATAAGATTGTTTCTATCGCTTGTACAGAGTGATAAAATCTTCTACATTAAGTATTATTTTCACATAATAAAGTTCAAAAAATAAGTGCTTTTTCGCGCTTTTTGTGGTACCAAAAGCAATCCTTGAATCGCATCATTTGTTCTTAGAATAAATTTTTCAGGTACACAGTAATAGATTTGCTAGGGTCAGGTGGCTTCGGTGATGTTTACAAAGTTTGCAAAACTGGTACGAATGAGCTTTACGCAATCAAGACAGAACTGTATGAATTTAATGGTCGAAGAATTAATCGGTTGGAGGTATATAATTTAAGGCAGTGTAATCATACTTTATTTTTAATTTTTGGAATTTTTACTTTTGAATAGCCTGTATTCAAGAATACAAATCAAATGACGCAGAATGTGAGTACAATCCGTGATTGTTCATCGCAGGTCGAAGTATCCGTAATGACTGATATTGCGAATTTCGAAGATGTTTCACATAAAAGCCATTTTATCACGCTGATTGATCGCGGCAAAACAGATCAGTTCAAAACAATAGTGATGCAGCTTCTCGGTCCTAGCATTGCTGATTTGCGTCGTTACTATATTTGCGAAGAATTCTCGTATGCCTTCAAACAATTTTCTTATCAAATTAATATAATAAGCAGTGCATTTGCAAAACAAGCATTACTTTATCAAAAATGATCAGCTCCAATACTTCTTTTGTGGATTTATACTTTGGCCTCATCCAAATTTTAAAGATTTTGTAATTTGTCATTTTAAATTTACCAGTCACTTGGCGATTACTGTACTCATACATAAGACTATATTATGAGGGGTGAAGAACTATGCATTGTCAAAAAATTTGCATAATTTGGTCGCTTTTTATGACTAATTCAGCAGATCGACAGCAATTCGCATAAGCCAACAAACTCTGGAAAGTATATGGGATTTACATGTAATTGGTTATCTGCATAAAGACATAAAGCCTCAAAATTTTGCAATTGGATTAAACGATAAATCAAATGTTGTATACATGATTGATCTTGGAATGGCAACCAAATATATTAACAGTCGTACTAAAAAAATCAAGTGAGTTCGAGATTTGATACAAATTCGGTTTAGTCTGATTCATGTTTGTTACACTGAAACAGAAAATCAAGGGCGATTACTTTAAAATTTGTTTTCCTAATATAAGATTTGATTGAAGAATCCCACGATCAAAAGCTCGATTTATGGGTACCATTCGGTATGCATCAAGAAATTGCCATCGGGCAAAACATCAATCAAGACGGGTAATCTCATTTTCATAATTGCTTGAAAGTTTGTTATACTCGAATAGAGTTCGTCAATAAAGTTTGTCAAGTTAAAATCGAAAAACTTCCGCTTTTCAAAGCCAGAATTGAAAGATTCATATTCTTTGAGATAATCAGATACAGGATGACTTGGAATCATGGATCTATATGAGCATTGAATTCTTCAACTCCAGCATTTTGACATGGAAAAGAATGATTGATCGAAAAGCAGTATTATACGAGAAGGAAAATTTCTTCAATCTACCTCGTTGGTTATTTAGATTTACAAAAATGGTAATAAAATTATGAGTGCTTTTTGAAATTTATCTGAACGCAATCAAAAACATTCTTTAACTTCTAACTCAAACAACTTTCAGCTCAAGAAGCCTATATTGGAGCACCAATGGGCTACAAAAGTATATCACAGTACATTGATAAACTTTCATTCGAAGAAGAACCAAATTATACATTACTGCACGTTGGTTTCTTGACAACTCATTCAAACTTAAATGCTAAAGTAATTTGCCATATTTTATCCGGTCTTGGCCGCATGCACAAATATGAGCCTTAAATAGAAAATTTAACATAGTTTTCATATTATTTGAAAATGAAGAGATTTGTAACAGTTTAGATTTCATTATTACTAGAAAAACTTTCTACAGTATACGCAACCCTATATCACGAAAAATTTTCCTACTAGATTTTGTAGTTATACAGTGTGCTGCAGAAAGCATTAGAAGAAATAATTCGTAATGAAAACATTGACGTTACTATACCATTTGACTGGTACGGTCGTAGCCTTACAAGACGAAAAAAAACAGAACTGGATTCAGGATACGAAAAGTTGTCCAGAAATCCCACATCGTCACCAGATTTAGCACGTTTTGCAAGCATTTCTGATTACCGTTAGCAAATTATGAAAATTTTGAACTTGTCTGTTGCACCACACTTAATTTGGTTTTTATCTTACAACTGAACTATAATATGATCAATTTTTTTAATCACTACCAACAATGAAACAAATCCTGATTAATAACTTGAACAAGTATTTAAGGATGAAAGAAAAACTGATACAAGAAAAAGCAAAAAAACTGAAATTCAACTGCAAGACACAGAACGATCTTCAACTTACGTATGTATTTCTTCACAACGGTGATTATTTTTACAGAACTGTTCATGTTAAAAATGCAACAGATGGTAACGACAAATATCAATTATACGATTGTTACACATCAGCACAAATTATTAAATTATTAATATTCATATTGAATTAAAGGTGAAAGCAGTAAAGATCTAAAGAGAAACAATTTGATGCATAATCATTACAGCAGCACATAGATAAGAGTGGAGAACAAAAGCCTATAACACACCTAACACTAAGTGAATACTTTGTTTAGTATTCCAAGCCTTTAGTAGTTGATATCTCCACAGCTTATTGTTAATTTCAATTTGATTAGCAAAGAATTTTTCACACACCGAAAACAATGAAAAATAAATTTAATAAGTAGAACAAGATGGCATACAGAGCTGCGATTAAAAAAAAACAAAAACTGACTAATTTATATCCCTTCGCTGTTTGAAAATCATTTGATAAGCTGGCATAATACGTCTGATTACTTTGTGTCCTTAGCGAGCGTCATAAACCATTACTAAAATAAACCAGTCGATTACTCTCTGTTATTTTCAACACCTATAAAATTTTATCAAGTTTCAAAACTGTGGAAGCTTGAAAAGTTTTAATCAATGGGTGTTACATTATCTCTATAAGTGTAAAACGTGATACTTAATATTAAGAGAGAAATCAAGTAAATCACAGTTGCTGGACTCGACAACAGAAATTTATCAAGATTTTATCAGATATAAAACTGAGACAAAAGAAGAATTAGGTAAAAAATTTTTAATACGAAGCTAAAACTTGAAAATACATTTTCTACAGCGTTTTTTGTACAGTATTCTATAACCGCACTCTCGACACCTAATCGCATCTTTGGGACGAATTTCGTTTTCGCTATGACATTCTATAAACGTGGTAACACTTTGTTTCGATGAAAAACTGAGCAGTTCAAAATATTTTTAATATTGATATTTAATCAAAATTAAGAGAGTAATCAAAAAAGCGAGTGCAGATTTTAATTGAACTCAGACAAATATATGTAGAAGTAACAATTTAACGTTCAAACCTCCGCAGATATATATCATGCTACTGGCCTTTATAGAAGGAGTAATAGTAGCATTTGGTACAGGAGTAGAGCCACCATCCATTGCTACTTACAATGCCTAAAATTTGAAATCATAGATTCAAAATGAATGACAGATTCCATTTTGAGTTTTAACTGATACTTGAAGAAGGAAATAGATATCTGAGCCCTCAACATCAAAACATATACATCTCAACTTGATTCCAAACAAAAATAAAACGGCAACCATACTGCAACAATACTAACACAAAATATATTGCTATTATTTTTGTTGTTTAAATAAACGTAATTTGACGCGGCCCCATTATGAAACCTAGTTTGCTTACTAAATTGTTATATTTTTATTTTTTGTTTTACTTAATTATAAATTGTGCATCTCTTTTCTGTCATTTTGGATTTTTAATCAGTTTTTAGATATTTTTATTGAGGCTGAAATCTGTTCTCCTTTTTTCCCAATTCTTTTTCAACCACACATTTAATGTGATAGTTAAACTTTTTTAGTTAATTGTTTCAATATGAAAATGCATTTTTCTCCGTAGTATCGACTTAATTGACAGCGTTCTGCTCGCTTCTGGAAGTCAAAAGTATCGAAAGCATTAATTATGCAACTTTCATTGCAAATTTTTGTTTCAGTCCGTTGAAAATGCTTGTATTACATTAGAAATGTCGTCTAAAAATGCTCTCATACAATCAGTCGCTTAATGCGCCTCGAATTATATGCACAGAATTCAGACTTTTGAGATTTTGTTGTAAGAATCTCACAAAGAAATCTCTTTATTTTGCACATATGAATTTCTGACGCTTGGAAGAAGGCTCGGAAGTGAGAGGAAGTTGGTAGGAATCAGTGAAAATGTTCATAAAACTGAAGTTTTTAGTTAAAAACAAAGAGAGTATCTGACTGACGAGTATTAGTTCAAGAGGTCATATTTTATTTTAAAATCGTAATAGATACGACTTAAATAAATTTGCTTATTTATTTTAAGAAAGCATGTTAACTAAAGTTGTTATTTTTCATATTTAACAAGATAACAGTTTTAGTATAGAAGATAAATGAACGATCGCTCTAAACTTCTGAAAAAGTCTGAAAGCATTGAATCTTCTCAGCACAATTATGTCTAATTTGAAGGAGTTTTAGTGTTGTTTATTTATCCATTTCGAGAGCAGAATTATTTTATTCTATTTTTTGTCGTTTTATGAGATTCTTTTTGGACTAAAATAGTTTTTGCACGTTTGTTTTGATGCAAGTTAGGGCGTTTTAAAACTTTTGCAACTCATTGGTGAAACAATTTTCCGTTTTCAAAAAAACTCTTAAATAATAAACCAATTTAGGATAACCTTAAACGTTGAATTTCTGAAATCTGAAGAATTTGCCTCACACTATAATATTGAAATTTTGCAAACTTTTTTAGTAGACAGAAATTTCTATTGTTGCTAATTAATAGTTTAGTGTCAAAATAAAAAAATATTAGTAACTGATACCAATGCAGCTAAAAGCAGAACAGAACGATAATGACAAAAAAGAAGAAGCGTAAAATGATTAAAAGAACTTTGCTAGACGTGATCTCACGCACGCATAAACGCACTATTGTTAGATCTTCGCAAGTCGCTCAAGGGAGTATCAGTGCATGAAAATTTTAGACTTTTTGAACTTGCGAGGAAAGACTTGTCGATAGATAATTCAAAAAGAGCCTTCAAGTAATCTCACTGCAGTGCAGTTGTGCGATGAAATTGTAATTAATTTTGACCTATTTCGGCTTTTATTGAACACTGCCGTTAATATATTTTCCTTCTAACATTTTTGTGCTTTTCAATATCAGAAAAGCTCTACTTCAAATTTATGTAATAATAGAATAAGTTTCCAATGCTATCGCACAGAATACTTCTGTCGCAAGTGCAAAACTCTTCGCATCAATTGGTCTTCTGCACATCTCAAGTAGTAATGAAATTCACACTAGTATACACTTACGTGGGGGAATCAACAGCTCTCTAACATGATTACAGCTCTTGCTAGCATAATTAATTGAACTGGACAGCAAATGAAGTGGAATGATGTGTTGGAACTTTAAACTTAGCTTGCTAACAATGCTGAGTGCAGCTTGTTTTTTTGATAAAAGTGTGTGGATATGCAGTTGAATATCCCTTAACTAAGATAAAGAATTTTGATCAGACTTAAGTAGATTGACCAGCGATTTTCAAATGATAGTAAGGTATTGATGGTTGTGAGGTCTCTCGCTCTCGAAATTTGAGTGTTGATTTTGCGTGGTGAAACTATACAGTACTGTTCAAATAGGTTACTAAAGTTAATCCTCAAATATAAGAACTTGACAGATTTGTGAAGATGTCTACTTTCCTTTTATTATCACGAGAAGTAATATGTATTCTTCTCAAGCTTACTGAGATTAATTTTTAGTTTTGTTTTGAAGAAATTTAATTTTTCCGTAATAATAATTTAAAAAGAAAATCGAATTTCCTTTAGACATGGAACCACAAGTTCAAAGGATATGGCAGTCAACTTCTGTATTGATATAAATTCATCAAAATGTTTTACAGTAACAATTCTAATATTATATTTAATCTGGTTGATATTGGCAGACCAAGTTGGTAGGGTGTATTCTCGATAGGAAGTCAGTAACTTATTTCACTTCTAATTTGGCTCTCTCAAATAGCTTTTGATCTGCTGTTTCAAACTAAATGTTAAATTTATTGAGTATAAAAGCTCTACCTTTCGTACATAAAATTGCTTCAGCACAAATGTTCTATTTTCAGAAATTTTAGATGTTTTCTTGCAAGAAAGTGATTTTCAGTTTGTTTCTTTCATGTTTGAGATCGACTTCAAGCATAAATTCTGCTGTTTAAATTCAAATGCAAACAAACATGATAGTAATTTCCTTGAGAGAATCTTTTTTTAGATTTAAGCAGACTTTACGATAATTATTTGTGGTAGATAATTCCATCTACCAAAGCACCTTGTACTTTTTGAACTAACTGCTGTATTAAGCAGCTATACAAGACAGAAGCTTCTCTGCAGTTTGAAGAATGAATTTACCGACTAATATTTGCATAAGAAACGGCTATGCCCACAGAAAGCTTCCATTCACCTGAAAAAGACGCAATAAACCACGAAATGACAATTCATAAATGTTTCATTCTGCACTGCGTTTGCTTGTGATCATCCATTGCAGTGCTATTTGTATCCATCAATTTGCAAGCCATAAAGTGATGGAAATGCATAAAAGTGTATGTATAACCTGAATGAAAGGAAATTTGCGCAGAACTACTGAATTCTTTTAAGTAGAAATGAGTATTAATTCCAACCTCTGCAAGTTGTCTGATTAGAAGTAATCTTTACTGATAATCGTTCATTGCAATTTGAGTGTATATGAAAATGAAGTAAGTATATGTGGAAATGTATAACTGAAATTACGTCCCATAAAAAAATCAGTTTTGATATGAATACGGTCAATGACGTATTTTCTTACTAAAAAAGATGAATAAATACGTACTTGGAAAAGGAGTGTTCGTGGGAAAAGTGCTTCCTTCTCAGGGAGTTTCGAAGTTTGCTTGCGAGTGCAGAAAAATTTGCGTGGATGAATAAGGAATACTTAGCCACGTGGCACGCAAATGCGCCTTGCTGCTAATTTCGTTATATACATAATTAGCAACATAGTGCATTTACGCTCTTTATGGCTTGGCAAGAAAAAGTTGCAAAAATGGTCTTAAGGAAGGTTCAAAGATACTGTTTGATAGCAAGTAGCACAGATGACTGACTAACAAACTGATTGCGAATTGTATTAGTAGCTGCAAATAGATGGCATTTTTATGTTACGCTCTCGACGTACAGATCAAACACATTGCTCTACATGCAGACCAAACAAATTTGCATATGACTCTCTGAGTGAGAGGAGGAGCAGAACAAACTCCCAGCGCTTGATTTTGATCCGCAACTAAGTCGTTTCACACCTCAGAGTTTTCCGCGTTGTATATGATGTTTCAGTAACAATTGTGGTGTTGCTTGATAAGTAAAAGATTATAAATTTGCATATGAATTAACGACAACCAATCTAATTCCATCTTCTACAGTTACCTGATGAAAACAAATCAAATCATTGCCAGCAATATTTCATTCATCTACTCATTTTCTATTATCATAAAGGTTTATTTTGAGTGTATTTTATAATTAAAATTTCAGCATATTTAAGCTTAATTAACTTGTTGGGAAAGAAGACAGTTGTGATTATCAGTAACTGAAAGACCATAGCTCAGTGAAAAATATTCATCAACATAATTCGAAAACAGTCAATTTAAATATTTTACTTCCTCTGAAGAAACTTAACATTCTAAAGTGAAACACTTAGATGCAAAAAAGGCACAGAACTGAAAAGTACGTAATGTTACCTCAGACGAAATGAATAATTCACACATTGCCACAGGATTGCTTCCTGAAATGTTGTAAGCGTTAAAAATATACTTATCAGAAACCTGAATTATTTTTTTCTGTAAACAACTTTTTTCCCTCAGCAACAAATATAATTATTTTTGCATTGCGATCTTAGCGTAAATGGTTGATTCAATTAGTCTTAGATAGCATTTTATTAATAATTCTATCTTTCTGTTTCTTTTCATACGTTGCAGCTATGAAATAGAATTCATACTTATTTGAAATTACTTACTTCTACAATAACCAAAGTAAGTAAGCGTTGAATGCTGCATTTTCCTCAAGTTTCTGATTCTAACGAACATGAAATGATTAATGATTCATTTTATGCAAAGCGAAGTGGAAAAAAAAGGCTTCACTTCTTTGCCTTTTTAGGTAAGGAATTGTTGATGCTAAATGCTCGAAAACTTTAACCTTTCCTCATCCAAAAGGTCATCAACATAATTTAACAAGCTGAATTAAGAAAAATTATTGCATAAAGACATATACTGTTGTTATATTTGAAAAAAAATTGCTGAAAGAAGCAAAAGTCCGTGCATATTCTTGACCAGCTATTTTTTATCTTCGGAGAATGCATACGAATCCTTTTGTTTTTGCTTCAAACTGTCTAAATTCTAATTTCAAAACTT